AGTACTTCCGCTTTTCATCTCCTTTACTTAATTAGATGTGTCACTTAGTGTTGAAAAGTGGCTGATATTTTAAGAAAATCAATTTGTTTTTGTTAATGCAAATCATGAACCCTTTTTGTTAAAGACCCCGGTGTCAATATCCACAAAAATCTGAACGATTCGATCAGTCAATAAACTAATGCATCGAGGTTGGCGTTTGTCACTTGATGAAATGTGCAGCAGAAGTAAATCACATCCCGGTGTTGTGTTTTAATGCTCCTCAATTGATCAAAATGTCTCAGAGGTGTGACACAGAGCAGTCACAGTCAAAATACCAAAACAGAAAGAAAGGGATGGGACAAGATCTCTTATCATAAGGATTCATGAGTTCTTCTCATGAGTTACTGTAAGATTGTACATACATGCTGAAAATGATCTTGTGAGATTTTTTCCCCATGTTTTTAGAGCTGGACTGGATAAAAAATGTATAGTTACAATGTGCAACTTTTCTGGTGTCATTGCTTTGCCCAGAATGCTCCACAGTGTGACATTAAAGTTATCTATTTGAATTCACCATCTCAGTTCAATTGCAGGTGGTTTTATTGCTCAGAAATACTTTGAAAAGCATGCATCTGTACTATGAGTGGGCTCCCTCTCCACAGATCTGACATGTAACTTGGCCTGGTCAAATGTTGCACATTTGTTTTTATGCAGATGCATGAGATACTTGAACTTCTCCTCTTGAGGCAGGGACTCTCCACCCACCTGCAGAGAGCAAGTCATCTTTTTCCGGTCGACTGCAGCAATGGCAGAGATGCGGTCGTTGTATCGGACCGTTATGGTGAAGAGGAAGCTGAGCTGAAAGGCAAAGCTCTCAGTTTACCAGTCAATCTATGTTCCTCACCTATGGTCATGAGCTTTTGGGTAATGACTGAAAGGACGAGATCGCGGATGCAAGTGGTCGAAATTAGTTTCCTCTGCAGGGTGGTTGGTCACTCCCTTAGAGACAGGGTGTGGAGCTCAGTCACACAGGAGGAGCTCAGAGTAGAGCTGCTGCTCCACGTCGAGAGAAGCCAGTTGAGGTGGCTCGGGCATCTGTTCCAGATGCCTCCTGGGTGCCTCCCTCCAGAGGTGTTCGGGGCATGTGCCACCGGAAAGAGGCCCCGAGGAAGACCCAGGACACGCTGGAGGGACTATGTCTTTTGGCTGGCCTGGGAACACCTCAGGGTCCCCCCAGAGGAGATCAAGAACATGCCTGGGGTGAAGGAAGTCTGGGAGTCCCTGCTTTAGACTGCTGCCCCCGTGACCTGACCCCCGATAAGCGGAAGAAAATTGATGGATAGATGGAGATGTGTGAGTTCAATGTCATACTGTGGAACATCTTGGTGAAGAGAAGCAGATGGCGAACACTCTTCTAGAAATGTTACGCAGTACACCTTTAAGTACTGGTGAGTTACATTTTTTTGGAGAAACTTTGGTCCCAAAAAGCAGTGATACGATGACAACAGAAATATTAAATAAAATAAATAAAAAACAGTGAGGCTAAAATTGGGAACTGGATCGCACAATTTATTTATTATAAATCATGTAAAAACCCAGTCTCATATCTCATCTCGTCTTTTGGCAATTGTGTCTCATCCCACCTCTAGTGAAAGACATTACTGAATACTTTGACTTTTTACCAGAAATTATAGCAAAAAATATTCATTGTACTCTGTTATTGTTGTGTCTTACTATTCCTTGACAATATATGAGAACTACTTGTATATTTACTGCTCCAAGGGTATGGGGTCAAAAGAGTCATCCTTCTCTGTCACTGTGTTAATTGGTTTGAATTTGCAGCCACTCCTCTCAATAAATGCTGTGTGCTCAATCTTTAACACACTTAAATCATTTTTAGTTTACCTGTCACGAATAATTACAGAATTTAGCAGGAGGACAAATTTGTGGTCTCTGTGAAGAATCACCAACAAAGGCCTTGTAAACTGTGTGTTTTGTAGTCACGGTAATTACTATATCATTCAATATATGAAAGCTGGGACAATATTTTTGGGGGTCAGTATTTTTATTTATTTATTTATTTATTTATTTATTTATTTTTGCACTATTGGGAAATTTGTGGTATTTTATGGCTATATGATAAGTTTTGTGCTGTAAAAAGGTTGAATTAATAACTTCTATGACTCTTTACAGATGCAAACTAAAGTACTAAAGCATTTCATTTATGCTGTTTATTTATTATAGGTCATGATTTTTAACAATATTGTACATTTAGAATATTTCTGTGGTTTAAATCTGCTTTTGGGTTTTTGTGTCGGTGGCATAAATTCAGTTTCAGTTTCAGCAATTTATCTTACTTCAGAATTTGTTATCGTGGCAGGCATAATTACAATGCAATTTGTTGACGTACTTCCTTTTTGAAATGTATAAAATATAATTAAGTGTAAAATTATTCATCTCATCTTAATTGTCATATTGGACATTATAGATAAATTATGCTTTTTAATAATAGTTGTAATAATAGTTCAGTTTAGGTGTTTACCTTATATGGCCCCTGATGGTTTTCTCGGCTTTAAAGGTCCTATATGACACTAAATTGACTCTTGTGAGCTTTTACTCATGTGAGTATGTTGTTAGATTCTTAAAAGAACATACCTGGAGTTGTGTTTTGTTTCATTCACACATGTTCGAGTAATCCTTTATTTACTGTCTAGATAAAGAATGCCTCGGGGTTCCCCCGGAGGAGCTGGAGGACGTGTGTGGGGTGAAGGCAGTCTCTGAGTCCCTGCTTAGACTGCTGCCCCCACGACCCAGCCCCGGATAAGCAGAAGAAAATGGATGGATCTCAAAAGCTGAAAGTTTTCAAGTTTAGAGCTCCTTTGACCTTTAGCTCAGTAGAGAATGGCCATTCCAGGGTTGAAATTATCCAAATTATAGTGAAGGTGTGTGGAGTTTAAAAACATAGTGAAACGCTTTCTATATTACCAGATGACAAAGTGGAATTGGGTGTTTTTAGTATGAGAGAAGAATTCAGCCTAAATATGCAGGGTTTGTGTGTTAAGCATGTGTGAATGAAACAAAACACAACTCCAGGTATGTTTGTGATGAGGAAACAACATTGTAACATATGAGAAAATAGAGTAATATGGGCCCTTTAAGATAACTAAATGTTGCCGTCTCATCACAGCTCATTTTGGTAGAATGTGGCATATTTTATTATAAATTGCTGTAGACATTAAACTTACAAACATCTAAAAATGCACAAATTATTCAGAAGACTTATCACAACCTAATATTTAGTCAGCTTTAGGTCAGAGCTCCTCCGCTCCGATGCACAGGTGTGTGTCTGATCTCATTTATCAGGCCTGTTAACCCTTGGCAGGAGCAGTATACAGAGTAATACAGAGCAGGGGCCCAGTGGGGGACCCAGGCACTCGGTCTAATGAAAATCCCCCTTTCACAGCAGCCCACCCACAACGGCACCCGGCCCCTCCCTCACAGACCGACAAGAACTGACCTACCGACCCAGCAACAGTTCAACCAATGCAGCCTGGGCTTTTGCATATACGCACACACATGCATAATTAACTCTGGGTTTGCACAGAGATAAGAAAGTCAAGATTTTAGTACTGCACCAGACAAAATACATTATATTTTCTCTACGTATTCTGGCAATTTGTCCTTGCAGAGATGAACATTTTCCAAAAAAATAAAAGAATAAAACAAACATGGGATCAGATTCTAATACATTTTACTTCAAAGGCTAGTGCTTCCTGTTTCATCTTAGTAATACAGTTTTTCCTAATCCAATATTTGCACTGTGTACCACATAAACTTGAAGCTGACTCAAAATAAACCTTTCCTTCATTGACTTGTGAACTATGTGGCATTAATGTGACTGTGTTTGTACAGTAACTGAGTACAGTTGTGGTTTTGTCTCTGTCACTGGGGTCACTTCAGGGTCAAGAGCAGTACAATCTGTTTCGGTGACAACACCACAGCCCACAGCAAAAAATAGTAATTCAGTGAACTCGGGAAGTCCGGATGCAGATACAGAATTGCAGTTATAAGTAATTATTCTTCACCTACACTAAATAGAAAATATTGATGGTTTCTAGGTTATTTAATGTGATAATCATAGATATTATGCTAGATATTGCTGCTATTGATCCAAAAGGTAAATTCACAAATGTTGAACCTGATCATTTTTAATAGTGACTAGACCCAAGAAATCTGCATTTTAACAATATTCATTTTATCTGGGCCTATCTGTATTAAATAGGCCTATTATTATGTTGTGCTGCCATCTGAAACCCATAGTTGGGTTTCTCTGGTCTCCATGGGGTTGTATTGTCACTCAGAAATATCCTGAATAATAATACTGTATTTTTAGATTTAAAAAATAAATTGATTATCTACAGGGTTCTTAATACAACACGTTTATTAATGACACAGATCGTTGCTAGTTCACTGCCTATAGAACTGTAAATGCGTCTGTCTTTAAAGTGTAGCCTATTCTAAGCTGAAAGTTATTGCACTTTTAAAAGCTTTATGTGCTATTCTTCATCGTAAACATTAATGGTTTTGTGCAGCCTGAGTAACACAGTGTAAATAATAGCCTATCAATTAATTTGGGTTTAGGCGCATTAATCGCGGTTAAAGTGCGCAAAGGCAATCGTGTGCATTTCATCTGGTGTAGGTCTCTTATTTGGGACAGTGTGCGTCAGATTTTGGCGTGTGGTTTATATTATTAGCATCTCTGCGTGATGGCTCCTGAAACATCGGGCTAATCTTCTAATGCACGAGCTTGATGCAGCTGAAGGTGTTTGAGGCGGGACAGGGGTTGAACATTACCTCACTCTGAGCGCTTTGTGCGGAGAGAAACGAGCAGGTAATTAGCTGATTAGAGGCCCGTCAGAGCAGCTCGGGAGCAGCCAATCAGCGCAGAGCGGAGCGGGGGGAAAGGACACTGATAGAGAGACTCGGAGTTTAGAAGTTCGTGTGGGACAGAAGCGTGATGCTGCAGTCGAAAGAGGAAGAGTCGCGTGAGGTTCTGTCCAGATGATGATGATGATTTAGTCACTGCTCTGGTTTAGGTTTTGTTGAGGATGAATGAACGTTTAGCTTCGAGTCAAGTGCAGCTCTGTTCAAACCGATCAGAAACTTTTTGAGTAGCACTAACAGTCTAAATGACTGTTTGAACACTTTCTGTTGCGTTTTTACGCACAGCACATATTTATCAGTAGTTTTCTTCTCGAAAAGCTCCAATGGAAAAATCCAAGAATTTCTGCATCGACGCGCTCCTGGCGGACGAGGGCACGCGAGTGGGCAGAGACCTGTCCCCGGGTTTGAGCAGTGAAAGTCCCACCGTGAGTCCCGGGTCAACGCCGTCTCCACGCGCCGCGCAGCTCCAGACCGGACTCTTGTCCAAACCGGGCGTCTTAAACTTATCACACGCGGGGATGTCCGGTCTCCCGGGCCTATACCCCGCACCCATGTACCCGCTGTCGGCCCTGAGCGCGCAGCACCCAGCGTTCTACAGCGGCTTCTCGCAGCTGCAAACCTACCCAGAGCACCTAAAGGCGGCTGCGCTCGCGGGCTCTCTGCCGCTGGAGCACTGGATCCGCGCGGGAATCATGATGCCCCGAATCCCGGACTACGGCTGTGAGTTCAACATATTATTATCCATCATTGTTTAATATTTAGGACAGGCCTCTCGTCTTAAGTGTTCGCCCCCTCGGCCACAGGGACAGCATACAGCTGTTTTATATATTACATAGACCTGTACGTTTTATTTATTTTCCTTTAACTTTTCATCATGATCATTATGAATGAATCTATAGAATATATTATTGACCCTAACAGGCTTTACCAGATCAACAACTTCAGAGAAAATATAGACCCATAGCCTAAAACACAAATAATGTCTATGGTGCCCTACTGACATTTTACACAAAATGTACTAATTCTGTGGTTTATCTGCCAAATTTTGTTTTTCTATAGCATATTTGTTTGCTTCAGCATCACATGCAGAAAATTTAACAAAATGCTAATTAGTAAATCCTGAAGCAATTTTCTTATTATTTATCCATTAGTTATTATATTTCATTTTATGATGATGATTTTTTTTGTTTTTTTAAATAAATCCTTCATTATTGGTCATAATTTTTTATGATTTTATATCAGATCACACATTTGAAGCTTTCAGTTTTTCACCACAGGCTGAGATTTGTTTTGTGTTGAGGCACAGTCACAGTCTGCACTAAATGAATGTGCTGCTTATTGTAATTTACAGTCTCTCTGAAATCACTTCCCAAGCCTTGACTTGTGGAGTAAATTATTTTAATCAACAGTGGTCCCGTTCACATCCCCACACATTGTCCCACACACCGGCCGCTCAGCTTTGCCTCAGATTTCATTTGGCCTCATTTATTTCTCTATAAACGGCTCTGCGATTGAAACTGTCTTTGTGTGACAAAGAGACGATAAACAAACACCTAAAACGCTCTGTAGTTCATCAATAAAAGCCCAAAAGCATTCATTGAATTTTCATTAAGTTAATGGCACGCCTGTGTTTTTATGGCCTCTGCGCTGTGTCCCCTCGTCAACAATAAACTGGAGTAAAGCTATTACAGTTAATGATGGCCACACAGTGCAGGCATATGTCCACTGTTCCCTCCCACAGAATTATACTTCCTCTGTCCTTGGCTTTATTTAAAGAACTATGGCAAGGAAACAGGACAGTAAGGTAAAAAGCAATGTACCATTCAATTTATGTAAAAACTAAACTTAAATATTTTGCAGAAACTATGTCTTTTCAGAGTTGACACATGGACACACACAGAGTCAATGTCCAGATTCTTTCAAGGCTAACTTACAGTACAGTTTCTTCTTCTCACAGCTAAACAGAGAAACCTGTCTTAATATCATCATATTTAATCTGGTTGTGTCTCTCCTTCACAGCGGGTCCGCAGTCTGGTCTCCTGGGGAAGTGCAGGAGGCCCAGGACGGCCTTCACCAGTCAACAGCTGCTGGAGCTGGAGAATCAGTTCAAACTCAACAAGTACTTATCCCGACCCAAGCGCTTTGAGGTGGCCACTTCACTCATGCTCACTGAAACACAGGTAAGAAAAGCTGTCTGTTTGTTATTCATACTATGTTATTGTCATACTTCACTAAAAACTAAAAGTAAAGGCTCATAGTTCAAGGTATTCTGCAACTGACATTAATTTAGTAGTGATCCTGTATGTCCAACATGAATTTCTCCATTTAAAAAAAGTTATCTTCTATCTATGAATATGAATGATGCTATGACAAGCAATAAAAGGCAATAAAGGGTAGACCTAATAAGCTTTAACTTCAGCCTACATCTTTAATAAATAAAGGCCAATTTAATCTAAATGTAAAGGTCACACTGAACAAATTCTTGAATCTGTCTGCATTAGGCCTACACTTTTAAAATGTGTAAATCAAACAAAATTATTTGGTTAAAGATGCTTGAACCATTTTGATGGATACAAAATTGGTTTAGATAAACACAGTGTAGTCAGATTTTGATGTTTTAACTTATAAGTTTACAGCATTTAGAGTTTGCATCCCTTGCTTATTCACATTGAGTAAAATGCAGTGTGTTTTCAGGTGAAGATCTGGTTCCAGAACAGGAGGATGAAGTGGAAGCGCAGCCGTAAGGCCAAGGAGCAGGCCAGTGCCCCGGGACAGACTGATGCTGAAAGGGGGCGCGGGGCAACAAACAAAACCCCCACAGACAAATCAGAGGCGAACAGGCGCTCCTCTGACCCTGATGACAGAGGCATCGTCCTGGACTTAGAGGAGGACGAAGAGGAAGAGGAGGAGGATTACCCTGTCGCTATGGGCAATGGGATGCCCAGATCCACAGACTTTCTGCAGCAGAGCGCCAACTACAGCCCCCACAGTCCCTTTTCAGAGGACGAGATGGATGAGGTGCAGGTGGGGGGCGCAGACCGGAAGATTGGGGCAGGTCTGTGAAAGTCTAAAGAACATTACAAATACAACAGAGGCTATGGGGCAAGTGCAAACCCTATAGTGGGACTCTTTCATAAACATGTTACAGCGGTCATGTCTGTGCTTTTTGCATGCTCAAAAAACTCATACATTTTTACATTGTGTATTTGTCTTTTTAAACCACTGAATGCACTGCACAATGGTCTCAAACATGTATAATGAAAAAAGTATAGACCATCATTGTGGAATATTTGTGTACGCATTTTTCATATGGATGTCTGTGAATTTATCATGCAAATGCATTAATTTATTTACAAATTTAAATCATATATGTATTTATCTGATACATGTCTGTGCTGTGCTGTCAAATAAAGTGCTAAAATAAGGATCTAATTCATGAACTCTTTTAAATTTAAACAACAAAAAAGATTTAGCCAAGATTTTGTATTCAGTAATAAACCTTGTTCTTTATGGGCCCACTTGTGAAGCAATTCCCACCTTAAATCTAAGAGAAAGACCCTCATATATTAATTACTGCTTGTGGCTTATACTGATGGCCAAATAATTAAGTTAATGAATTGGAAATGTTCTGAGCCCGATGGTGATGTCAGTTGGCCGGACGGTGGGAGGGTGCCGGATGTTTTATTGGGCAGCAAATTAATGCCTTTGATTAAGAACAGCCCACACAGCGACGTGTCATTGAGCCCCTCTCAGACCACTTCCACATATTTATACAGTGATTAGACACATTAACAGGGGCCCAATGGACAGTAAATATAGTGGACAGGGAAGCCATAGAAAACCATTTGAGGAGAGCAATTTCTTAACTCATCCCCATCCCTACACTATAAAAAATACATCCAGCTAAGTACAGGTCAGCCGCACACTGTCTGTGCAAAATTGACTGGGTATTATCGTTTAGGTTTTATTTGTCTTTTGTGATACATTTAAAGTCATTCTGCTAATAACTATTTATTTAACTATTCAGTTTTGCTTATCAAATAATAATACTGTTGACAACACTTGAGATAGAATACAGTGTAAGTCAATGCAAATTAGAATTAGTAATAGTTCAAAAATAGTCCAGCAGAAGGGAAATATTTTAGTATTTTTGCAGTGTTTGTATTATATAATTTCAACACAGACACACATAGGTACATATAATTAAATTAAATTAAAGTAGACTGAATTGTTTGTTACATTCAAGTTGATTGAGAATTTGGGAAGAACATACAATATCAGGCCTACTCACTCAAAGTTAGTCGCAAGTTCACAAAATCAGTGGACTTACATAATTACATTGAATCAGAGCTAATGGTTAATTGCTTTTTTAGACAGTATTTAGTTAACCATTAATTCAGACCAAAACAGGAGGAAAGCATATTATAATTTACAAGTTTAGTTCATAAACTAATATAAACCTCGGCCAGAGTCATTATTGGAAGCGCCAGTGAACAACTCTGTACTCAAGTTTGTAGCAAACTTTTGATTTAAAGTGAACGCATATGCATGAGGTCTCGACCCAACCTCCATCAAACTGCTGCTGTTAATTTGTCTGATGAAAAAAAACAACAACACAGGAATCAATACGCTCATTTAGTTGTGCGACTTGTCAGCTGTATGACAAATACTGTTACTAAATACCATAACACGCCCCTCTCTAACACACAAAGTCAAAATAACCGCTAATTGATACGGCAGCACTGCGACACGCACGTCACTGATTGCGACTAATAACTGATTCAAATTTCCGTGCGTAATTTACAGTTATTGCTGATAATGCTGTCAGAAGCCCCAAGAGTGGGCATGCAAAAGTGCTGACTGCATTTAAGCTTTGTATTCTTGATTCTTAATAATAATAATGTCTGTGTCTTTCCATAAAATTGGTTCACTGTCTACTGAATCACTCAAGCCATCCCTAAGGACGCCAGTTTGGCCCTTACGCAGCGCAGTTACCAGAAATCCCCCATTTTCATAGTTAGACAAATAAAACAGCCTCTTTTGCTCTGTGCATTATAAATCAGCAGGGCCCTTAAAATATTTACACCCTGTAGTTTAATCAATCAGCAGCACGTCAGCGTCATTACGTGAATATGAACAGATTGTTCTATCTTTTAGCGTAATCACACATATTGGAGCAGGTTCCTCTCAAGGCCCCTGTCCTGTCACTTAACTAATAGGCAAGCCAGGCCCTGAGTGACACGAGCCAATAAATTTGCATCTGTCCGACTGAAAATGCTGTTCTAAAGCATGAAAAAGCCACCGTTTTTGGCAATAAAGTTTATTGAAAAGGCGGAACCTACGAGATGTATTCATGAGAGCCGTTTATGGATGCAGGAAATGTATGCTAGGTGTTCACGGGGACACAGGGATGTTCACCCACACACCCGCGGGTCCGTGTCACCTTCAGGATGCGCTTAAAGCTTTTATTGTTTAGAAAGGGCAGCATTGTGCAAACAGTGATGCGTGCGTAAAATATGTGCGTTTGGCTGCACATCTGCGTTTGCACCAATGCAGGTCGCTGGTCTGTGGTTCAGAAATAAGATTGGTTCTTTTTAATGAATGAATATCCGCAAAAAATGCCTCGCGTCAAGAAATATCTGTGTTTATAATTATAATATAGGCCTAACTAGGAAGGGATGAAGGCGCTGCTTCTTGCACATTCACTCAAAGAGCATTTGTGCCCTCTCGTGGCCAGATTAAATTGAACACTAATCTTAAATCCGTTTTGTAGTTTAAACTGTTTTTAATGAATATATTTGTATACAATTAATATATTTGTATGCAGTTCAGTGCAGATTATCTTATTTAAAACATTTGCCACCCAAGAGGCCTTATTTTTCATTGTATGTTTTTTGTAAGTCCAACTTTATTTTATTGATGTTCATAACAGCACGTTTATGACAGCGTCCTGCCATTCTGACCTCAGTTCATGCCCATAGACCGTATGTTCATTCTTTAGTTTTGAACGGAGTTTGGCTTTGTGCGCGATTTGCGCCACATGGCCGCCGTAGCGCACGTGTGGCCGGGGGCGGGTCTTGTCTGCAGGGCGGTTCTTGCACTTTTTGAAGCACATGATGAAGCACGAAAAGTTCATTGAGTAGATTCACCTCTGTCTCTACTCTTTCAACGGAAATCAGGGCATTCTTTCTGTCAAAGTGCTGCGCCCCACGTCTCTCTTCTTTTACAGACGCACTTATATAAGGACTGCGACGACCAGCATGGCCTCTGAACTTGGTAAGACTTTGCGATAAAATCACCACTCTGTTTTGATACGGTTTTATTGGCGACATGATGGAGGTTAGCTCCTTGGCTAACATTAGCCGCGTGGTTTGCTTCTCTGATCAGACTTTTGTTTTGTAACTGGATGCTTCTGACTGTCTGCAGCGCTCTTGAGTGTCTCGGACAAAACTGGGCTGGTGGATTTCGCCAAAAGGCTGGTGGACGTGGGACTGTCGCTGGTCGCTTCTGGAGGCACGGCCAAAGCTCTGAGGGATGCTGGGCTGGCAGTCAGGTCTGTACTGTAACCACGAAGGCCTAAACGACACATGAGGATAAAACTATCTGAAATAGGCCTATGCTACACATATTTAAACTATCTATCACACCTCACAACATCAAACTTTACATGAGTATGTTCTTGTTGTGTAGAGATGTGTCTGACCTGACTGGACACCCGGAGATGCTGGGAGGAAGAGTGAAGACCCTCCATCCTGCGGTCCATGGGGGTATTTTGGCCAGAAAAAGCCCCAGTGACACTGCAGACATGGACAAACTGGGCTATAGTCTGGTCAGGTGAGAGATCTCAAGTTTAAAAAAGAAAAGAAAATGTTGATTGTATTAAAACAATTACACATCATCTCTGTAAATCAAGCCTTATTGATCAGAGAACTATTCAGTCAATTTTGAAGCTTGTCAAAAGCTGACCAATGACCAATGGCACGCACAGAGATCACAAGTGAATATTGTGAAAGCACGTGTGGCCCATTTAGGAACTGCCAAATTGGAAAACTGCTGCTACTCCAACAGCTGCCTTGTGACTCTTATTTGTCGAGAACCTGAACAATCTGATACAGTCACAGATGAAACAGCAGCTAATCAATACACATAAGGATATTATTAAAAAGCTGTCAGGATTGTGTGTTGTCATGAAATTGCTTTAAATTATTTGTTTCAACTGGCTCTCTAGAAGACTTGCATTTTTTGTGTGAAATGTTTCCCTCCCTGATTAGTTTTTCTACAGCAAAAACACATATATTAGAAGTGTAACTAGATATTGTTTCCTATTTGTAAAGCATCTTTGAGTGTCCAAAAAAGTGCTATATAAGTCTGATGTATTATTATAATGATTATTAGTATTATTAGTGTTATTAGTATTATTATTCAACTAAATCAATGTTTTTTACAGAGTGGTGGTGTGCAACTTGTACCCCTTTGTAAAGACTGTCTCCAAACCAGATGTTACCGTGGAGGATGCTGTGGAGCAAATTGACATTGGTAGGCTTTGGAACAGAAAAAATACTTTATATTTAGAGGGTAGATGATTAAATCTTCCTGTATTTTAGGTGGTGTAACTTTGCTGAGAGCTGCTGCTAAAAACCACGCTCGGGTCACGATTGTGTGCGACCCCAGTGACTACCCGGTGGTTGCCAAGGAGATGGAGAGCTCTGAAGACAAAGATACGACTTTGGACACACGCAAGACTCTGGCACTAAAGGTATTGACTATTTTAAAGGTGTACTGTGTAACATTTCTAGCAGAGGGTTTGTCACCTATGTCTCCATGGAAATGTTATTTTGTCTAGAATGTTCCACAGTATAGATTAAATCAGATAAGCAGGGTACAGCACTACACTACACTACATTAGAATTCAGATCTGTGGAGAGTCGCCCGTTATTCACAGAAGGAATTATTGTATTTTTGAGCAACGGAAACACCCGTAATGAGTAAGTGCTAGATTTATAGGTTTAAAATTAATAACCTTCAGTGGAGATAAGCAGGTGGCAGACCCTTCACCAGAAAAGTTGCACAGTGCACCTTTAACTACATAAAAAATACATTAACATTGCAATATTATAAAGTCTCCAAATCATTCTGTCATGTAAATAATTTCAACTTAAACACATCAAATGACTCCAAACTACAAACAGTTGCACCTTGGCTTTTGTTAGCTGTTGTTCTTTTGCATGTTGAGACTTGTTTTCTCCTGTTCAATCATCGAGTCATTCAGTCATTACTTACACCCAATATTGGACTGTAAGAGATTGGTGCTGTAATTAAAAAAAAAACAAACTTTCAGATGGACCTTTGCAGAAATTCAATAGTAACGTTACATTTTGTATTTGTTTTAATTAGCAGAAAAAAATTTATACTATTTAAAGGTGGATTGTGCAGCTTTTCTGGTGGAAGGTACAGCTGTTTAATGTCAGGCAGAGCAATGACAGATTCATAGAAACAGGTGAGGGGCCCTCCACCAGAAAAGTTACACAATGCACCTTTTTTAATGGTAGCATGAGTAGTGGTCATTACTACTGTTTGTTTTTGGATAAAGGTCAAGACAAAGTCCAACCCTGATTTAGTTAAGATCTGCATTTAGGTTGCAACATGTGATGGGTCCATGAACTTTAGCCTATATCTGTCTGCAAACACAAAATCTGAAATTCATTTTGAAACATAAAAGTTGCAGTATTATAACTCACTCCTTTAGCTTCCTATATTAAGTTGTATTTGAGGACTATTTTTATGTTTCGCAGGCATTTACTCACACAGCGCAGTACGATGATGCCATTTCCGATTACTTTCGTGGTCAGTACAGTCGTGGAGTTTCCCAGTTGCCTTTGCGTTATGGCATGAATCCGCACCAGGCTCCTGCTCAGATCTACACTCTGAGGCCACAGCTCCCCCTCAAAGGTAACAAAATCAGCTGTTAAGAAAAGTTAACAGCAATGCTATTTTATTAATTAAATTGCCTTCATTGTTTAATATTACTTGTTTTTTTGTTTGTTTATCTCTGTGTATGACAAAGAAACAATGAAAGTAACAATGTCTCACTTACTCCACACACTCCATACGCTATACACTCATTCACTAATCAGCTTTATTTGTCCGTTTGTCTTCATATTTATCTATGTTTGTATTGTTTTTCTGCTGATTGTTGTCCATTCTCATACTATTTCATTACTTTTGAATGTTGTTTATTTTGTTCTGTGTAGTTAATTTACAAAACAAGCCCCAACACTCACCTATGGATTTACTTATGACCTACTTAGATAACCCTAAAATGCATGACTTTTGTCTCCAGTTATCAATGGTTCACCGGGTTTCATCAACTTGTGTGATGCTTTGAACGCCTGGCAGTTGGTAAAGGAGCTGAAAAACGCACTTGGCCTGGCCGCTGCTACGTCCTTCAAACATGTCAGTCCTGCAGGTGAGATGCATGTTCACTACATATAAAAGTCTTCAATCAAGTTATATTGTTGTCATTGTAAACAAGCAAACAATAAAATTAAGTTTGATCTCTCAATTTCATCTCAATGTCACAAGATAATGAGTTCATTTGTAAAAGAAAACAATAAGTACAATTGTGAAAAATCATCCAAGGTCTGCAATTTACTTTTGTATAGCAATGTTTTGAAAAGAGAAATGAGCCCCTCTCTACTCCAATGCATGGTATAAAACAAGTCAACTAACAAATTTCAACATAGAGATGAGTTTATTGTGTATATCTGTTGGAATAGTTCCCAGTAAGGCATGTTTTTAGACTTCAACAAACTTTATTGATCCACAAGGGGAATTATTTGGACACAGTAGCTCACACATCACAATATAATAACAAAATGCAGCAATATAAATGGTAATAGTGAATTATAAATAAGTAGCAAAAATAGCAAGTGATTGGTGTCAAATAAAGCATAATTATACAAATGCATTTGTACAAGTAAAAATAAAATGTGTATTCCAAAATGTTATCTGCTGTATAGAAGACAAAAGGTAAAGGTTTAAGAAAGTTTTCAGGAACTGATGTGACTCGCTGCCACTCTAAGGCACTCAGGTCAGGCATTTTTAAGCAATGAGAACACATGTAAGTTGGTTAATGCATGCCATACTGTGGAACACTCCAGGTAAAGCTATAAAATCTCAGTGGAAATGACCAAGACCCAGACCTTGACATCAGCTGCTAATAGTTATATGGCTATCTATTTCTACAGCATTTAATGATCTTTTTTATTTCATAGGAGCTGCCGTAGGAGTTCCTCTGTCTGAAGAGGAAGCCAAAGTTTGCATGGTCCATGACATGCTGCAGGATTTGAGTCCACTGGCCACAGCATACGCCCGAGCACGAGGTTAGGGGTCACTCATGCACATATCGATTAATTTGTTCACTTGGCTCCTTAATTCTTTAGTTGCTTATCCTCTCACTGAGCAAACTTATAGACAGCTGACTAACTGAGGATGCAAGGAAATATAACTAGGACCTGGTTTCTGTTAGCTGTCACTAATTAATGGCTTTGTACTTTTTCAGGTTCAGACCGGATGTCCTCTTTTGGAGACTTCATTGCACTTTCAGATGTTTGTGATGTTCCTACTGCAAAAATAATTTCAAGAGAGGTAAGCATTTAGGTTTTAGTAATGGGGGGGAAAAAGATGCTTGTTACATGGAGAGTAACTAAAGTCTGAAATCAAAAGGTTTCTGATGGTATCATTGCCCCTGGATATGAAGAGGAAGCACTTAAAATACTCACCAAAAAGAAAAATGGCAACTACTGCGTGCTTCAGGTGAGATCATCTACAAAAACTAGAAAAATAAATTCAGTCCAACTGTATTTATATTGCAGATTTTATAAACAAATGGCTGCAACATATAGTAGAGTATCAAGTAATAAAATCTAATCTAATATATTATAAGCAATATGGTGACAGGAAGAACAAAAAAATTGATTATATAGCACATTTAATTGTAAAATGCTAAAGCTTATTTATACTGTATAGCTCATTGAAAAACACAGGACTGCCATAAGAGCTAAACCTTTTAGATTAAAACAGACTTCAGCAAAATTATTAAATTGAAAATGAATTAACTGCAATGTAATTTTCACAGATGGACTCTGAATATGAGCCTGATGAGATGGAGGTCAGAGTGCTGTTTGGCCTCTACCTCAAACAGAAGAGAAATGGAGGTGTTATTGATAAAGCATTCTTCAGCAACATTGTCTCCCAGGGCTCGGTAAGATGTATTATACTTTAGATTATTTTAATTTACTTCTTGTAATATGAGCATTTTAATTTATTTTTGGGGTTTCCTAGCAACCCCATTTGCGTTGTCTAATGAGTCCCAACATTTGTAACTGTAATTGTAGAGGACATTTTGTGTCTTGGTTTTTGTCACTACAGTAATAATCATTCATGTGTTGTTGTTTCTGACCAAAAGCTTTCAGATACGGCTGTGAGGGACCTTACTGTGGCCACTATAGCTGTGAAGTACACCCAGTCAAATTCAGTGTGCTATGCTAAAGACGGACAGGTAAATAATATAGGAATCTCCAACTGTATTCGTCTCCAGGTTAAGAAGAGATCTGTGTTATGTTTATTTTATTAATATTGTTTTAGGTGATTGGGATTGGGGCTGGGCAGCAGTCTCGTATCCACTGCACTCGTCTGGCCGGAGATAAAGCTGATAACTGGTGGCTGAGACATCACCCTCGAGTCCTCAACATGAAGTTCAGAGCTGGTGTGAAGAGGGCTGAAATGGCAAACGCTATTGATCAATATGTCAGCAACACCATTGGAGAGGCAAGGATCACTAGTTTATGTTCCTATCCACACCATCCATTTCTTTACTCACATTTTATAACAAAGTGCTGCACAGAGATGAGAGAAAAAACTAAACTAAGGGGTCCATATTATACTATTTTCTGATCTGTTATCATCATGAAAAACATACGTGGAGTTATGTTTTGTTTCCTTCACACATGTTAAACACACAAACCCTACATATTTATGCTGAGTTCCTCTCTCAAACGGAAAACACTCTGTTCCACCTTGCACGTATACTAGAATCATTTTAATAATTTCAGTCCTGGAATTGCCCATCTGTTCTGAACAAAAGGTAAAATGTAGCTGTTAACTTTAAAAATAGCACTACATGACATCACAAGGTGGAACAGAGCATTTGGAGCTTTGGAGATGTAGACAGCCTAATAATAAAAGGTTACTCAAACGTGTGTGAATGAAACATATCACAATGAAAAAAACGTATGTTTTTGTGGAGGTAACAGCATTCTAACATGACTTAAAGCTCACAAGAGTCAATTTTGTCTAATAAAGTCTAATCTAAATCAAAGAAAAAACTAATAAGACACGCTAAAAGCAAAAAAAATCAATAGATTAGTTGTATTATCTGAATTAGATTTACAAAAAGGACTACAGACCTCAAGCAGTGATGTATTGTAAAAAAAATAAATAAATAAAATGTATAAATTATTACTTCTCAGATTGTCCTGTAAAATCTATAATATATTTTGTCCAAAGGGTCCAGACCTGGAGGTGTGGAAGTCCATGTTTGATGAAGTGCCGGAGCCTCTTTCTGAGACTGAGAGGAAGAACTGGATCAGTTCTCTGAAGGCGGTGGCTGTGAGCTCTGACGCCTTCTTCCCCTTCAGAGACAACATCGACCGGGCCAAACGAGTAAGGGTCTCTATAGGGCTGAAAGTAGTTTTAATTATTTTTTGCCGGTACTACTAGGCCTACATTTTTATTCTCTAACATACACCCACTCAGAATATGATTTGAGTAAAATGTATAGTTTAATCATTTATATGCTTTTATGCTTTTTAACATTAAAGCTGACTCTGGTGTGAGCGCAATCCTCTGTCACATCCAGCTACCCTTCTGTGTGCAATAAATTTCACTTGCAGTGTGTTAGATAAATATAAAATTGATCTATGTATGTTTTTAAAAATGTCAGCAATTGCAAAGTAACTAGTCAAAATCTAGTCAAATCCAGATTGTTGTCTTCCATTGTTTTGACATTTTTACATCAGTTATGCTGATGCAATATATTTTGTAATAACACTTTCTAGAAATAGTTCAGATATTTACACATAGCACTTTTCACTATTCAAAACATAGAATATTTTGTTTAGAATTGATAATTGCTATGACAATAGAGCTAATTTGTCATCGCTCTAAAACAAGTGGATTATTAACCGTACAGGATACAATTACATGTTTCAGTATTTATTTGTTTATTGCATTTTCTAACATTTTCTAACTTCATTGAACTATTATATTCACAATTACACAACTTTATGCACTGCCTGACTCCACCCCCAAGCCTATACTTACTGCCCAAACACACATGTCCTCTCTCTTTGCACTGTTCTATAATGGTTTAACTTTGTGTTTGCAGAGTGGTGTTGAGTTCATTGCCGCTCCTTCAGGCTCCGCAGCTGATAAGATCGTCATTACTGCGTGTGATGAACAGGGCATCACTCTGGTGCACACAAACCTGCGTCTCTTCCACCACTAAGCCCCTCTGTTGTGTACTGTGTGTAGGACCAAAATATATTCAACTATAAGGTCAAAACCATTGTCAAACACTGCTGTTACTCCAGTATTAATTCTACTGTTCTTGTGCACTTTTGTAACACTACTACATTCCAGTTTGAACTGATATGTGCATAACTAGATCCATCATGTTTCATCATTAAATAAACTAATATTTTCTCTAACAAATGTGTCGTATTCAAGGTTTGAAAAGAGAAGCTACTTTAATTGCTCCACTTACAGTTACACAAATAATAACTTATGTTTATATACACTTCCGGTCAAAAGTTTTAGAACACCACACTTCTTCCAGTTTTTTACTGTTTACTGTCGAACAAAATGTATTCTAAACTTTTGATTCATGAACGTGTCCACCTTTTGGCAGATATAACAGCTGAACACACTCGTTCTTTTTACAGCAGAAATCAAATATTCTTCAGAAAGTTCTTCCCAAGTCTGTTGCAGAAGTTCTCATAAATGTGTGCCACTTGTAGGTTGCTTGGCTTTCACTCTTCAGTCCATTTCATCCTAAAACCAGCTCGATGGGGTTTAAGTCTGGAGACTGTGCTGTACACTCCATGTTTTCAAACTTATCAACTTGTTCTTTTTTCCTGAGGTGGTTTTGACAGAGCTTGGATTTGTGTTTTGTTATATTTTTATCTTTTTTATTAACCTCTGGCTGTTCAGTACTTAGCTTTGTACCATTTCAAGCTATTCACTGGACTTCCATGACTTGAATTGCAATAAATAACTGGAAAAATAAGGGTGTTCTAAAACTTTCGGTAGTGTACTGTCAGTGGTGAAGTTATAAGGCAACATAGCCTATCCTATTATGTTAGTTTATGCACAAGTACAAAATCAGTTTTAGTGAAAAAACTAATATGAGGGAGGACAGATGGGAAGTATTACAGAATGTAATAGTGTATATAATAACTACACAATTACAACAGCAACATCCATGATGCCGACTATAATAATAATAGTTCAAGTGTATCTACATGCTGCATAATAACACTGTCAGACTGTGTTATCAGACTGACTGGTGGAAAACCAAGTCCATGTGTACTGCACTTTGTGTATAATGATTAAAAACTGTAAGGATTGTCATAATTGTATTATAATTTCCTTTATTATATCTTAAACTGGCTCAGAAATAGACTGCATTTTGTCACAGCAAGTGCATTTTTGTCCAAAATGGCAATCTCTCTCTTTCACTCTTTCTTTCTCCGTTCTTTGGTTGTTTGATTTTTTTTCCTTAAATGTCAGCACCTATTGTTTGGCATCTATTTGAGTTTTTTCCCCCTCAAATTAATTGTTTTCCAATGATGAAATTTCTGAGTTGCCACTAAATTTTTGTATATTAACACTTTTCATTAAAAGTGTCAAAATGAGGTCATTGTGTGTAATGGCTGCACTGTTGCCGCACCGCGTCATTGTCGCGCCACACTATGGGTCTATATATTTTCCTGCTTTTTTGTCCTTGGCCTGTCACATCCCTGAAAATGGAAAGACCAATAAATAGTAAAATCAATTAAAATAATACTGATTAGTTCTATATTGGTTTGTGTATGAATGTATGGCGTGGGGTAATGTTGGTGTGAGACAGTCAAATATACATACATGTATTTTAGGATCTCTCCAGCTTTATTACAACATTGGACTTCTTATCGTAGAAACAATTTCAGCACAAACAATGTACAAAAATAGAAAAGTTTGATTCCTCACATCAAGGTTGTTACATTCACACTTTGAGATTAAAGGGATAAATTATGAAATGTGTCAGTTACACACAGACAGTGCTTGTTAAACGAAGGACTACAGGAAATTTAAACGCAGCTAATATATAAGGACATTCTTGTAGAACAGTGCTCACATTAAGGCTTTAAGAAAAGGCAGTCAGAAACATTTCTTTGGTTTACAGTAGATTATGGATTATGAATTGAAGAATGTGGATGAAACAAGTATTTTACAGCAGAAAATGTTTAGTTTTAGCTGAAAATATTGGCATGAGATGAGGGTGAAAAGTGCAGTGATCTGATGGAGACAGAGCGGATGCTTTATTCCCGTGGATTTGGGGGAGCATGGGCGTCTGCCAACAGGTCGGGCCGAAGACACTCAATCGGACAATGGATATTCTGAAAGAGAGAAGAAAGGGATTTGAAGCTTTCAGATTATAGGGATGAAGTGATGTCATACTACATACAGATGGAATCCATGTATCGTTCGTTCATTCGTTTTTCTAAATAAAATGAAAAATAAGAAATAAAAAAAACTACAGTTTTCTTCATTATTTGTTTCCAAAACCAAAATGAAAAAACAGACAACGATTCATTTTTCAGTTTTCAATTTTGTGTTTGAATGAATAATGGAAAATACGGATAATGTTTTTAAACATTTCACGTTTATGTGAATTAAACTGTGATGCCGGACTGAACCAGGACTAAAACAGGACTGAACCATCACTGAGTGTCGGGACGGGCCCAGAGGTGCGCCTGCGTAGACTGTCGAGTGATCAAGGCTCAGACTGGGACTGAGACCGGTTTAGTCCTGGTTTAGTCCTGGTTCAGTCCTGGTTTAGTTCTGTTTTAGTCCTGGTTTAGTCCTGGTTTAGTCCTGGTTTAGTCCTGGTTCAGTCCTGGTTTAGTTCTGTTTTAGTCCTGGTTCAGGCCTGGTTCAGTCCGGCATCGCAGTTTAAATCACATAAAAAACGGTCGTTATCCATTTTTTCCAGTCATCATTTAAATACAAAATATACTGAAAAAAAAAAAACAATCATTATCCATTTATTCATTTTGGTTTTAGAGACAAATAATGAAGAAAATAGTTGTTTTTTTAATTTACTTGTTTTTGGTTTTATTTTGAAAAACGAATGATACATGAATTAGATGGGGAGCAAGAGCCAGTTTTCACAAAAAGAAGTATGGACAAATGTTAAACCTGATCATTTTTATAAGTAATTAGGCTGTTGCACATCCACCCATGCTCACTTCCTGTTCATAAATAAATTCCTGTTCCCAATATGGAACTCTGAACTGAAAATTCTTAGGCCTGAAGCATAATATAATGTTCTCACTTTGCGCAGTGTGTTGTCTCCGTATCTAACAGGCTGCAGCAGACTGGGGTCCACTTCTGCCCCTGGCCTGCGGCAGTTGTCACATCGCCAGCCCTGAAAAGATCAAACCATGCTATATTTTACTCTGTAATTTTAAGATTACTTGTTATTTTCTGAACACCAGTCTCTTACCTGTTGTCCTCCAAAGCAAGTGCAGGTACAAATGGCACCCAAGTATTCCTTCTGCCACTGGTTTCCTACTTGGTATGTTTTGCCCTCATCGTAGCACACAGACTCATCTGTAAAGATGGATAAATAAAGTATTTCAGTATAATCCCTTAACAAGTGAGAATGGTAAAGAAACTATGCTATGTACTAATGTGCTTTGAGGATGAGTCTTGAAGGTGCACTGAGCAACTTTTCTGGTTAAGGGTCTGCCACCTGTTTGTCTCCATGGAGTTATTGGTGTTTTGCCCTGATTATTCCACAATATGATAATACATTTGGTTATCATAATGGAGACAGGTTAATGGTCAGATCTATGGAGACCCACCACCTTAGAAATTACACGGTGCACTTAAGAAGTTGTTGAATAGAGATTATAACTTATAGACCACACCAAAACATTGCAAAACATTGTAGCTGATGTGAAACAAACAGTAACTGTTTACATGGCAGCCTTGCAATTCTTTTGTTTCCAAGTTTCCTTTCAGCACCTTTTCAGGGCTGTTGAAAAGTTAGATTAGAGCACTTACGTGGTTCACATTTGAATTCTCCTTTGCCATTTCCCAAACAGGTGCAGCTCATCAGGTGTCCATTCTCAGCTTGGCGATCCCACTTCTCCCCAATGCGGTAGTTATTTCCACTGTCATGGCACCACTCTGAAAAAACATGAAACTGTTAGAGAAACCAAAAAATCACATCCATTTTAATTATATAGCACATTTTATGCTCAAAACAAACCCTAATTTCTAAACAATTAAACATAAGTAGAACATTATTAGTATTATTATTTTGTTTCATTGTTGCTGCCGAAAAAATGTATTTCTTTCAGGATAAATAATGTGTTTATCTATCTATTTATTTATATACATAGAAAAATACATCTTTACAAAGGTGCACAATGTAACTTTTTTTTTTATATCCGAGGAGATATGTAAATTTAATGCCATACTCTAGGCAAAGCTAGATAAACCTTCCACCAGAGTAGCTGTAATTCCACTGATTTCCATTAAAACTAAACAAAACAAAAGTACAATCAAATGAGGACATATGAAGTACAATAGTAAAAGCAATAAAATGCATAAATACAATTAAAAGGCCACAAAAAAGCATGCTCAGTTCAATTCTAAATAATACAATACAAACAATAAAACTCAACATACTTGATGAGTCGCATCTAAAATGGCCGCTGCCGAGACCCAGACACCTGCACCAGAGTTTGAACCCAGTCTCAGACATGCGCTCCCACTCGGCTCCGACCTCATGGTGAGTCGCAGTGAAAGAGTCGTAACATGAGTCTGAGGAAGAGGGGACTCCATCTGGGACTGAAAGAACAAAAATTATTACTCATACAATTTACATTCACACATCATCATTTAAAGTTTTTTTTTGTGTGTATTTCATATGTACTGATGAACGTTGTACAAGTTAGCCAAAATTTAATTGTACATACTTGTATTTCCAGTTGTGACGATCTGCTCTAGGATCTTGTGCTTGAGTGCTCCCAAAATGGCTTCCACAATGACATTATAGTTTGCCCCTGGGGTGAGCCCGATCAAAGTGGCAGTGGTCGCTGTACCGGGCAAACGGACCTACGTGGAAATAAATAGTAGTAAATTAAGTAGTAATAAGTAGTAAATTATATATAGTCGCAAATGTACACCAAAAAAGTTTATCACATTACAAAATATATCAAACTAAATTTGAGTAATATGTCAAATGTTTAATACTTGATACCTATTTAAATACCATAATAATAAACAAAATATTCGGAAAAACTATATTAACAATAATTATAGAATATAATTTAATAGGGGTTCATTACCATGTGGTCTTGTGCTAGGTCTGACAAACCAAGATCATTCTGAAACTGAAAGATCCAAATTTGTCCAACTCCTATATAATAACAAATTTTGAAGCTCTATATATTGCTACAGAGATATAGTGAGATAAACGATAATATTGAAGCTAGAAGTTAGCCATAGAAGTTACTTATTCAATCCTCTGCAGCTCAAATCGCATTGTATTACTAAAAAAATAACAAAAATCTCTGCACTTTTACAATGAAAATGTAAACATAATAATTACTGAATCCCAAAATATATTGTTCCATCTTTAATGTTTTGAACAAGTCAATATAGTAATTATCATGACAGGCCTACTCCCGACTATTGACACCTGCTTAAACCAATATTACTATCTATTCTACTTTTTATACCAGTTAATATGGGTATACATTTTTTTTCTTTGTCTTTGTCTTTTTTTTTTTTTACCAGCCCAATGTGTTACCTGGAAGAGCTTCTCCCGTTGGCTTGATAGAGGCTCACAGGACACCAGATAGGCGTTGCTCTGCTTGTACGGCTTCCAGGTGACCGTGGTATGAGTTTGGGCTTCTTGGGGCAGTCCTGTGTCATTCCCGATGGGCGCTCCGATGGGCACGTTCAACTTGACTATGGGCAGCCTACGACCTTCTGCGTCGGGGAGGGGCAAAAACACCAAAGGCTCACGCACTTGCCCGTAAGGATACTGTGGCTGTGTGCGATCTCCATTATTGTTGTTGTTATACTCAGTGTACTCCACATGCTGGCTTTGACCACCATGCCCGTCCTGCCCATTGTTGCCCACCACCTGAATTTTGTTGTCAATTTCGGGCACATCTAGCTTGTCGTTACCTTCTGGACGAGGCAGTGGCAGGGGAAGCAAGGATTCTGGTTCTAGGCGGGAAAAAGCAGGTTATGGAAGCAGCAGGTTAGACTATGAATAATATAGGGAGGTATAGCAAAGCTGCAGTAACATATCTCAGCCAACAGGGGGAGGCAGATATGCACCTCTATTGCTACCACTCAATTGTATTAGAGGGTTACTAACACAGGATTATTTTGAATGGCATTTCTGAACACATTCAAAATAAAAATAATTGTTTATTTAGCTTTTTTTTGTTGTAAACTACTACATCTCTGTAGGACTACAAAAGCTCAAACTACAGCTTAAAACTTACCCAATAAACATTTCTCTGGTTCCTTTTTGTTGTGTAATTGAGCTTTTTTTATGTACAACTGATATGAAGAGGAAATCATACATTCTGGTTTAAAAAAAAAACACAAAAAAAAAACACATTTAGAATATACTCACTGGTAATGATTCGGCCAACAAGAGGGATGCTCCTTATATTGTTTTGGATGGCAACAATTTGGATTATGTATTCAGTTGATGGTCGCAAATCTGAAAAAAAGTGATTAAAAGTTATTGCTGTGAGATACAGAACAAAAATAATTATAGTTATTCTCAAACTAACACAGAAAATAAATACTATGATTTTGGAGTATTATTTAAAAACAACTAAAAAGAAGCTAAAATATATTAAAACTAGGCATCCATTTTATTTTTGCCATCTTAAAACATGGATCTATTAAAATTACTGACACACTTTAAAACCACAAGAAAGAATCCATACTGTATGGGCACAACTAGTAGTAGACATATTTGTATTTGTAGTGGTAGTAGTAGTAATAGCCCCAGTTGTAGTGTAGTAGTAGTAGTAGTAGTAGTAGTAGTAGTAGTAGTAGTAGTAGTAGTAGTAGTAGTAGCAGCAGCCATAATTGTAGTAGTCACAGTCGTAGTAGTTTTAGTAGATGCAGTAGTTGTAGTAGTTGTTGTAGTAGTAGTAGTCGTAATTGTAGTAGTCATACTCGTAGTTGTAATAGTATTTGTAGTAGTAGTAGTAGTAGCCATGATTGTAGTAGTCATACTCGTAGTTGTAATAGTATTCGTAGCAGTAGTAATAGAAGTAGTAGTAGTTCTAGTAGTAGTTGTAGCAGTAGTCATAGTAGTAGTAGTAGTAGTAGTAGATTATAATAATACCAGAAATTGTGGCGTAGTTTTGTCCAGAGTGGGGGGGTGGGAGGAGCTCACGGGGCGGCCTTCCTGACTGTTCGTAGGTGATGTAGTACCCTGTGATGTCAGCGGACGGGGGTCTCCAGGTGAAGGACACAGAGGTGGGGGTCAGAGAAGTCACCTGCAGATTGGTGGGTGCTGGGACGACTGGCTGAGCTAAAAATAAAATAAAATAATAATTTTAATTAGACAATGTGGCAATTCAATGGGCTGACTCCATAATGTCAATTTGGACAATTTCATGAAAAAGTAAAACAACATTTGTATGTGTTTTGGATATCCATATTGTATAAACAGAGAAAAAAATGTGCTTTTACCAAACATGTATTTTTGGGACTGCTTATCTTTGTCCCTAAACATAATTTCTGCTTGCCTTTAAATGGCCACTTCAGTACCACTTCTTTTTTGATTTCAACATAATTTCATCAGTATTTTATAGTCAAAACACAGCTTCATATTATATTAATATCAATACTATCAGTACATAATTAAGGCAGCTTACCAGTTGTAATAGTGAACATGAATGGGGCGCTCTTTGTGTTTCCATTCAGAGTATACATCTTAACATTGTATGAGGTTCCGGGCTGAAGACCTGATCAATAAAAAATAAACACGTTTAAATATCATCTAAAATAAAAGTTACTCTGTCTTTGGTCTTAAAGATGCATTGTGTAACTTTTCTGGTGAAGGGTCCGTCAAATGCTTTTCTCCATGGAGATGTTATTCCTTTGTCTGGTATTAAAGTTTTCTATCTTCATGAAGACCAAACCAAACCAAGTTACAGGTCAGATCTGTGGAGAGGCGACCTCTCACAGTCTTAATGCATGCTTTTCTCAGTATTTTGGAGCTATAAAACCACTTCTAACTGAATAAATGTAAACTAGAGATGTTTAATAAACATTTCAGGTACAGCAATGACATATCCATAGAAACAAGCAGGTGACGGACCCCCAACCAAATGTTACAGAGTACACCTTTAAATACCAGCATTTTACCATCGACGGTGTAGGTGCGGAGATCTCCCGGGATGGTCCTGGTCAGAGTGGGCTCGGGGCTGCCGTGTGGTGTGGCCTCAATCAGGAAACTAGTGATCGTCTCAAATCTGGTGCGCCAGGTCAGAGTGAAGGACGTGTCTTTAACATCGGAGAGTCTGACTCTTCTGGGAGGGGTGACGTCTTTGAAAGAGGAATATTCAAGTTTAAATGGAACTAGAGTAATTATTGAAGACTGTTTAATTCCATTGAGCAACACTGATAGAAAAAGAGGTCCTAATTACTCATTTATATGCACTTTTAACAAGGCTGAGTGGGACATTTGTATTGCAATGTTTGATTGTGTTTTTGTATGTTTAGTTTCACTTTTATTTACTTTGGGCAGCTGTGGCTGTTTCTAAATGCGCTTTATAAATAAACTTAATTTGACTCAACTGACTGATTTGTTAGCATACCTATCTATGCTTTCTTTTTTTTTGGATATATTATGAATCAAATAACAATAATGATCAAAAAGTGTTACCTGGTCCTTTCATTTGTTTTTTCACCTGTATTTAACCAATTAAGCTTTTTTCAAAGGAGTCCTGACCTAGTTACAACATATATAAATAAAAAAGGTATGCTTATGCTGATGAAATCCTATAAAAATATGTGAGTTACAGTTGTTCTTGGGGAATCTCAATCTTAACCCTGCAATAATCTGATAAATATACTTTATACTAAATCCTAAATCGATTGTTTAGCCTCCTGTTGTGTAAGTAAAAACTTAAGAAACAAAAAAGAACCCAAAAATGTACTAAAAGTTGTATGAACCAAAATTAGGCATACTAAAGCAGCCATATCCATTTAATTGTTGCTATCTTTAAATTATTGACACAAGAAAGAACAAAGACTTCCATCCACCTTCTAGTGTGGTTGCTTCTCCCTCCAGAGGTCGAGAGGTTACAGAGTTCTTCAGAGCGTAAACATAAACCTGGTAGGTAGTTGACACCTTAAATGAACAAAAAATATAGATGATTAAGTGATATTACAAACCAAAATACTGTCTTGACTTTTACAAAACTGCAAATGTAGTAGCCCACCATCAGTCCTGGCACAGTGACCCTGGTTGTATCAGGGGCAACATTCATTTCTTTGGATGGTCCATTGATATTTTTGGGGTTGACGACGATGCGGTAACCAGTAAGCTGTGCGTTAGGAGGTCTCCATGACAACACAAAAGAGGAAGGGCCGATATCAAAGATCTCAAGGTTTGCTGGGGCTGGAACAACTATAGGACAATATATAGAAAGAGTCAACATTGAGTACAGAAGAGGCAAAAAATATTTTGCATTTATTTCTGTCCAAATCCACAATAGAAACTTTATTTTTAATTTAAATCCATGAAGAGGGTTAGGGTTAGGGCAACAGCAAATTCAGCATATAGTCACAACAAACACAAAAACTATAGGTATGCATTAGGGATGTAACAATAACCCAAATGTCGTGATATCGTATCGTCAAAAGTCTCACAATAATATCGTGAGCTGTCACAGTATATCAAATTACAAGTTCCTTTGCTTAAATGCATGGATTTATAGTATCAACAGCTTATAAACATTGGAAACTACAGATACCACGATTAATTTCAGTGCAAACATTAAGAGATGTTTTTTACTTGAATTCTTCAGATTATGATGGAAATAAAATATTGTCAAAATTTAAAAGCAAAAAAGTGTCCTATCTACAATTATATTAGCCTCTCCAAAACATCACAATAAATATTATATCGTGATAATATCGTACCGAGGGATTTGGATATTGTTACATCCCTAGTATGCATGTTTAGTAATAATAATAATTTAGTATTATAGAAGTGGCTGAATTGTTCCTACCTGTGGCTTGTTTTCCGACCAGAGGCGTGCTCTGTGTGCGTCCATTCAGGGCTATCACTTTAAATGTGTATTCTGTCCCAGGACGGAGATTTCGGATGACCACTGTGTCCTGGTCTCCTCTGGGGGCGGGGCGCAGCTCTCTATCGCCGTCTTCTGGACTGGTGTAGAAGACGCGGTATGATGTCACGGTGCCTTCAGGACTGTCCCACGTGATGCGCATAGAGGTGAAGTCAATGTCAGAGAACGTCAAGTCCTTGGGGCGGTCCATAGCTGCAAGAAAAGGGAACATTTAAACTGGATAAGTAGATAAACGTTTGCTTATCACCAAAAAACACAGTTCAACTTATCAAACAAGAGCATATGATTCAGTAAAATGACATCGTAAGACATGGATATATAGGTGAATCTGATTAATTAACCCTGTAACTAACTGGCCACTGTCAAACTTGAACCCCACCCTGCAAAATGTGTTTTGCCTCAGTACAGATATACTGTATAAGCAGCTCTTGAGGTCAAAATATGTGATGTGCATGCTGTCAGAACATGATGACTTGATAAATTAAATGACTGAAGCACACTACAACAATTTAAAACTGATATAGAAGTTAATATAATAGATAAATACAAAACCTAGAAAATATATTAAAAGTTAGCAGTCCATCCTAATATAGATTTCTAAGTGATCTTGCTGCTATTTATATGAAAATGCCATATGAAATCATACTAACCTGTGATGGCGTTTTCTACAGCAGGTGAAGAGGTCTGTCCGTCATTGCCCAGGGTGTACACATTGACCACGTACTCAGTGGTGGGGATCAGACCAGTGAATTTCATCTGAGTACGCTCTGTAATGCACCAAAGAACAAAGAAGCAATGTTCATATTCAGAAAAAGTTAAGATCTCATACAAACACCCTTTTGAACTAATGTAGCAATATATCACACATATCAGTAAAGTTCTTGTGGGTTCACCTTCCTGTTATATTTTGAGGACTTTTTCCCCACTGAAAATTTAATTGTTAATCACTCTGGCAAAGGTCTTAAATTTTCATCATTCTGAGACCATACGATGTCAGCAGATTATTTTTTTCTAATGCCAAAACATGACAAATTTGCAAGTTGAAAATTGACAGAAACTATTCAAATCTTTCCTTGACGTTCTATGTTTTGACAATATAATTTAATTTTATGACAGAAGTGAGTTAGAAATCAAACCCAAAGCCAAGATAACAAATGCTATATTCTGACATAGTAATGGCAATTCACACATTTAAGTATTTACACAGCTCTTTTACCTGGGCCAACCACCTCCGAATATGATGGTCCTAGGCCGTTCTTGGGGGTGCTCGTGATCCTGTATCCTCTGATGGGACCCTGAGAAGGGGACCAGCGCACTGTGAGGGCGTTGTCACTCACATCAGTTATCTTCATGCCAGTGGGGGACTCAGTGTCTATAGAATTCAAAAGACAATTTATTTAATTAGTCTTTGTGCTTTAGTTTTTAGTTTTTTTTTATTTCCGGTGTTAATAATAAAAAAGTCTAAATTAAAAAATGCAGTATGTAACTTTTCTGGTGGAGGGTTCACCACTTGATTTTCTCCATTACATCACATTATGACAACCTATCTGTTTCCATGGTTATAGCAGTTGACAGCAACAAGACAAGTTACAGGTCAGATCTGTGGAGTGGAGACCTCGCTCATAGTAAGATTGCATGTTTTTTTTTTTTAGGCAATAAAAACCCTCGTCACTGAATTGATAAGTCAAACACCATACATTGGAATATTACAGGGAAACAATAACATCTTCATCGAGCCAAGCTGGTGGCAGATCATTCACTTGCACCATTAAATTAAGGTTTGTACTTGTCACCATGCTCTACAAATGTCACACAGTGCAGCTTTAACATACTTGTGCGGTGAGAGATGCTGGCTGGGATGTTAGAGGAGGGGCTGTCTCCTCGCCCTGTTACCGCGTACACTGTGATGGTGTAGTCAGTGCCTGGTCTGAGCCCATTGATGGTGGCTGTGGTCTGTGTGCCAGGGACCGTGAACTCCTGAGGGGTCTCTCCTAAAAAGAGTTAAAGATGTAAAGTCAGGGCCACATCTGTTTTTGTGTTCTGTTTTTATCTAATATAAAAAAGAAAGAAGTGCATATTTATTGTTGCATACTCACACTAAACTGTTCCATTAGTTTACTGTCTAAAATAATAAATAATCTGTTTATTTCCTCATAAATAGTCCACACCTGTGACACCATAGTTGATCTTGTAGTACTTCACAGTGACAGAGGGGGCGTCCCAGCGGATGGTGATGCTGTTCGGGGTGCTGGTCACCACCTCCAGGTCAGTGGGAGCATTAGAGACTATAACAGTGTTAATTTACATGGTCAGTAAAAGTCAGTAAACTACATGAGCACAAAAGAAATCAAAAACACACACACTGTGATAAGTGTTAAGTGGATTTTGTGCAGTAATTGTTGTGTTAAGGAGACAAAGTACAATGAATTTCAAAATAACTTTCAGTGTTTAACCTTCCATTTTTGACAGATATGAACAATCACAAAGCAACACTCAGAAAGAAATCAGATTACTCACATCAGTTTGTGGTAACAGTTTGTAAAACATTTCAGAAATAGGATAGTAAGATGTTTGTGTGAAAAACTTAATAAAAGGAGACAGATGTGTGTTGCTAAGGAGACTCACCAGTGGCCTGTGTGCCGCTGAGGGGTTGGCTCTCCTGATTCCTGCTCACAGCGTAAATATGAACAATGTACTCAGTCTCTGGGGTCAGCTGAGTGAGAGTGTAGTGGGTCCTGGAGGGGGGGACCCTTTCTTCTTTGGCCCGTCCTCCACTTGTTGGCTGATAACGCAGACGGTATCCAGTGATAACGGCAGTGGGTGCCACCCAGTGGACAGTGAAGGAATTTGTCTGAATATCAGAGAAGTCCAGGCCAGTAGGGGCATCCAAAGCTGAGGGCAAAATGTTTGGTTGATAAGTAATTACACAGTTTGATCAACTGTCTTGGTATCCTCTATTTTCACAGCAAATGACTTGTGTCTTGAGGGATGCACCAAACAATTTTTTTTCTGCTCCACTACCAATGTCAATACTTCAGTCATCATCATATAAAATAACTATTATACAAGTTTAATATTATGAGATGTTTTGGGCCAGTAAATCATCTTATTACACCAGTTTATAGACCAAAATGTGATACCGGCTAAACTGATATCTTGGCAGTCGTTAGCCAACCCACCAAGTTTTTCAATACCGGTGCCGATATCAGATACCAGTATTGTATTGGTGCATCTCTATGACATCCATAGATCTTCTCCTAGCTCTTTTCCTCCAAACAACTATAACTACAGTACAGTTTAACACTTAAAGAAGTATTCCATAAGGACACTGAAAATGCCATTTTGTTGTATGTATTGTTCTGTTTTGTCTGTTCATGGTTGCGTGGCCATTAAAAAGATTCTGATGTATAAGTAAGACTTACTTGTCCTCTGGGTTCCTGTGACTGGCTCACTTTCTCTTTCACCATAGACAACAACCACGCTGATAGAGTACTCAGTGTTTGGCAGCAGATCTGAAAAGTTAAATATAATTAAACTATTTCACTGTTATTCAATCCTCATTCTTCTTAAATGGGCTCAGTTTCTTACTCTGGAGCAGGTAGGTGTTGGTGGACCCGCCCACATTCACCTCCTTCACGTCATCATAGGTGTTGATGGGGTGATAGCGGATGACAAAACGAGAGATGTCGCTCGGAGTGGTCACATGAGGCACTGCCCAGGTCACCCTGATGTGGTCTGGACCCACTCCACTGAACTGCAGGCTGGTCGGGGCGGGGATGGCTGTGAGAATGATAGCAAAGTTAAAAGGTTTTGAATATGTAAATTAGTGACTTACTTGATTGTTCATTAGATGTACTTGTACACTGTTGTAATGAAAGGGGTAGGGTCCAGTTACCTTCAGTTTGAGCTAAAATGTAAAGTGTCATTTTGTCATATATCTGTTAGACTATTATGTATATTAGTAGTTTTGATTAGAAGATACCACCGCTATTCCATGGGTTTCAGTTTCCTGTTATATGCAACATTTTGCAGACTTTTCCCGATTCAAAATATATAAATTTTGTTTTAAGTTGTTAATCATTAGGACAATGATCATTCTGGACCCATGGATATCAAACTACTGAACGTCTGCTACTAAGTTAGAATCAAGTCGCAATTAGTCAGATCCTAAAATATTGCCATCTGGTTTTGATATGACTTTTGAGTCATTCATTTAACATGTATTTTCCCATTTTCATCTTTGTTCCTAATTTAAAGCCCTACTCCTCCCCTCTGATTGAGTGAGTGGTAAATCACCAGCTTGTGTTTGCTTTGTGTATGCGGCCGGCTCGCTCTCTCCGTCTTCTGTTACAGTGGTGACAGTGATGTCATAGTCCACCCCGGGCTCCAAACCACGGATGGGGTAATAACCGGCAGATACCTCCACCATATCTTGGAAAATAGGCAAGCTTTCGCCTGCCGCCACTACCGAAATCCGATAGGCAGTGATGGATGTATAATTCAAAGGGATCCAGCGCAGGCCAATGGTGGTGTCAGTAATGTCCACAAACTCAATATCACGTGGTACGGGTATTTCTGAAAAGGTTAGGTCATTCGCAAAAGCGCAAGCAAGATTAAAAACAAGCAGCTACACAAAACTTACAAGCAAAAATGATTCCAAACAATTCCATTCCAAATATTAGATCTTAAAATTAATCGTGCACATGCTGCTATAAATTAAACATTCCCACATTTGCAACTAATGCAACCCATTCAGAATTATACTGTGAACTGCAGGCAATGTAGTCTATGGCATGCTTCTATTGAAATTATGATGTCTGTGCAAATGGGAGATTAGCAGCTATCAATGCTATTATTAGTATTAAAGATGTAAGTAGGATTTTTGTGTGTTTCCTTTCTCGGTATGGTAAAGGAAATACTGTAGTGCTTATTGTAAACTGTGTGACGCTCATACACTCATACTTTATAGTGAATGTACTCTCTATAACATTGTTTCCCAAAGACCCCAGAAAAAAAGTTTGGGAAACACTGCTCTATAACACTTATATTAGGGCTTACACAAGTACATAGAGAGTACATGGTGATTAGTATTAGTTACTGAGAAGGGAAAACCTACTGCCAGATAATAACTTTTCTCCATTGACCTTTGAAAACTTCAGCTACAAAAAAGGGTATAACTCTATTTTGGTATTATATATTTGTGTGTATGAATTACATTGGAAAAACTCTTTTGCCGATCTAAATGTAATAAGTTTGTTTGGAGCTGGTACCTGGAGTGACAATAGTGGACACAGGGAGACTCTCCAGATTTCCTTTGACTGTGAACACACTGACGTTGTACTCTACGCCCAGACTTAGGTTTTCCAAGATGCAAGAGGTTTGATCCGAACGGACAAGCTCCTCCAGCTCGGTTCCTCTATGATCCGTAGTGGGCGTGCTCATAACTTTGTAGCCAGTGATGTCTGCAAAGAAATAAAAGAAAAGCAAGATAAGAAGATACCAGTGTGTTTATGGTCCTTAAAGAAGACATATTATGCTTTTGTTGTGTTAGTGTTAATCTATGTGAATCATGTTTTTACATTTTGTTCATTGTAAACCTCAATATTGATCTAAAATTGTGTATTAATAGTAATGGGTCTTTAGATTTTGAGTTTTTATTGTTAAAAAATGTCTATGTAACAATTTTATACTACATGTATGGCCCAGAGTTAAAACCTTTTGAAATACAGAAAAGTAGGTGGGCATAAGAGGGAGGTCAAAACAGGATTTTCTAAGCACTAAAGCCTTAAATGCCAGAGAATACAAGATAATTCAAACATACATGAATATAAACTTCTAAGAACATGGTCTATTTTACATAATGTGTCTCCCTCGAAAGACTTTTGCCCCAGATAGAAAGGACAGCGTCTGCTCTGGATCTGGTCCAGAGTGCGTAGGAAGTTCAAATATTTACCAGGTGTTCTGGAGGCGACCCAGTAGACAGTAAGATCTCCTCTGCTCGGGTTGGACTCCACTCTGAGGTTCGTGGGAGGAGAAAGAGCTGCACAGACAATGACACAACCATGAGAAAACTGACCACCAGACAAATGGTTTTAGCAGACTGTAAATCCAACCAAAGCTTTAAGGTCATGAAATCTTACTTAATTTATCAAAAAGGCAATTGCTAGGGTTTCAGACATTCTGCAGGCTAATAATATTTAATACAGATGAGAGGCAGATCAAATGAATATAGTTAAAATGTAGAGTTTTGTTATATAGCAAGTTCATGGTCACTAATATAAACTGATCAGATTCAACAGCTGTGAATTTACTAAAGATTCACTAATCCCGATCCAATTCTGATCAGATATCAGCGCCAAATATTTTCTTCCAAATATTGGTACAGATATCTTGGTTGGGGCTGTAAACTGATATTTACTGATAATAGTTGGAACTGAATGTCTCATAATGTTTGAATTTTACAAAGCTGTTCTGTAGCGTAGTTGGATAAATAGCAACTACATGACACATTTGGATCAGTTTTGTCGTATTTAAACTTCTTAAAAGGAAATATATACTCTTTTCAGGTTTTTTTTTTTTTTTCAGTTTTTTCGTTTTTTTCAGGTATCAGCAGATATTAAAGCTATAGCAGATCAGTGTATCCATAGAATTTACCTTTTAGATATTTCTTATGAAAGTACAATTCAATGAAAACAAAAAAGTGCCTCTTATCCCTCCATGTGTTATATATTTTTCACCGTATTCTAGACTTTGAAAACCCCAGTGAACTCACATGTGACCACATTGCGTGTGATGGGGTTGCCTCTGTTGCGTCCGTTGAAGATGGGCTGGACGCTGTAGGTGTATTCAGTCCCCGGGATCAGATCGGAAATATAAACTCGCCCAGACTCAGACGTGTCCTCTCTAGACTCGCCCTCTTCACTTGGCAGGACAGTCAGCTGCAAGAAAATGTTAACTACTATGAAGTGTTACCATAAAAAGGATGTATTATTATTTTTAATGTTAGCTTGTGGAAACTCAGATTTAACATTGAAAATGAACTCAAATTATTATATAAATTAACATCACATATAGACATAAGTGACAGTGCTTTTACGTAATTATGCAAACGAAAAGAACAAAAAACAGAAGCAGCATTCAATTTTGTTTTAAAGCTTTGAGTTTGTTCTACATTTTGTCCAATATTATCACATTTTTGATCTTGGTACCTTGTAGCTAAATCTGCGCATTGGGATCCAGGTGACAATGATGGAGGTGTCAGTGACTTCAGTGCTGAAAGGAGGAGCATTCCCGATCTTTGGAGCTGCAGAACAACAGTCCCATTAAAACATATTCATACTTCACTGTGTATTTACAACATGGCCTTTCCATAATATCCATGGGTTTCACAGTTATGAAAAATTAGAACCAGAGTAGCTGAGAATTTAAAACAAAATCTTGAATGGTGAAAAGTCCTAAAAATGTCACCATAACAGAATGTTGAAACCCATGAACACTACAGTCTCATGATCACTTTTGTCCTGAGGACTGTTACTCTCCTCAGACTGCCCTGATACAAAATCAGCTGATCCCACCTGACCAGTCCTCTTGTTAAACTGCACTGACACCTTTGATTAAGACATAAAAGCAACTGAGAAGTGAAGTGGAAAGGTTCCTGCAGCTGAATTAAACATTTCTATGGGATCAACAGTTTCAAAGTATATACTGTATCTATGTATCCTGCTTTCTTCAGGCTCACCTGTTGTGAAATATGACGTCACGCCTTCGCTCAGCTCGTTGTCGATCTCAGAGTGCAGAGTGGCAGTGTACTGTGTGTCGGGGCGAAGGTTTCGGAGGTGGTACTGAGAAATGTCTCCTGGGATCCTCTTCTCGGTGGGTCTGGAGCCCTCAGTGCTCAGGTACAGTCTGTATCCGGACACTGAAGCACGAGGAGACTCCCACATCACCAGAACATTGTCAGCACCAATGTCTGTGAACTGCAGTCTGGTTGGAGCATCGGGCTCTGAAAAGTTACAAAAATAAATGTACTTAGACAAACTTCTTTGATTGGGAAATTGCTTTTTTGAAAAACATTTTAGGCAAGAAGCAATTCAGTTGATACACCACAAAACTAGACTAACTGATTTTTTTTGGATGCACTTCTACCAGCTACAACCATACCTATATACTACCACAGTTTATTTACCAATTTATAACAATAATACCAATTATTTACCTCCTCATATCTGTACACATTTTGCAATTTATCATTGTGCCAAGTAAACCATTTACAATAAAAGAAATTCCAGCTTGTTTGATTAACAATTTGGAAATCACAGGTTTTTGCAATGTTATAGTAAAACTTACTGATATACTTAATTAAATCACTTATAAAGTCTTTAAAGTATTTTTTATAAAGATTTAAACATTCCTGTTTCCATTTCTTCAACCAACATTCTAAATAATAACATACTGTTCATTACTGTGTAATTTTTAAATCTGTGAAACTGATACAGTCTTTACTGTCTCTAATGTGCAGTATCCTTACTTGTTGCCTTCTCCCCAATGAGGGGCTCACTCTCCACTCCTCCACTGATGGCGTAGATGTAAAAGCGGTAGAGGGTCCCGGGCTGTAGGTGGGTGATGTCTGCGTACGCGTTTGGAGAAACAGGAAGCTGCAGGAGTCTGGTGTCAGAGCCATCAGTTCCCACAGGGGAGAAGGTGACCCTGTATCCTGTCACTTCAGTGGGGGGTCCCGTCCAGGTGATGGTGATCTTCACATCAGACACTTCATAAAACTGCAGATCTGTGGGAGATGGGACGTCCTCTGCAAATATCAAGGACACATATAGGGGTTATGTTAAGCAATAATGTACACTGAATTTGTTATCTAAGCTATCTGTCTGTTAAAGATAGGTTTTCCTGTTTTAAGTTACTGTTTTGACTTAACTTGGTACTAGATTAAAGGGGCACTATGTAACTTTTCTGCTTGTATCCATGGAAACTGTTGTGGAATTTTGCATCCTCTGCAGTCTTAGCAAGGACACCTTCAGTTCATTGCTGACATTTTTCTGTATTTACAATGGTGTCGTCCAACTATTACAGAATTTGTCCTTCTTTAAGATTATCAGTTTCCTTGGTCAACTTTTCTCACAGAAGCAGTATGCTAAGCATTTCTTTTCATCTTGCCTCTCTTTACAACTGTAGGACTGTTAGAACAACACTTATTTTTCAAAAATGTCATTGCTTTGTCTGGAATGTTCAACAGTATGGCATCCAGAGAGACAAGCAGTTCATGCAACTAGGCCATGATAAAAGTCCATTCTGTGGAGAGACACCAGCTCAATGTAAAAATGCATGTTTTTTTAAATAACAAAAACATCTGTATTTTAAAAAATGTTAGATAGATAACTGCATTCCATGCAAAGCCATAACAACACTTTGGAGACAAGCAGGTGACTTAACAAGTTACACAGTGAATTTTTAAAGGGCTGCATAAGTCACTAATAACTGTACTTGTTTCAGTGTAATATAAAAGTTTGTGAAGTAGAATATCCCCATTTCAGTATTGAGCACTATAATCTTCATACATTTCTAGTAAAGCTAATACAGTTACAGACAATGGAGTGTCTATTTTTGTTTGGACTGAAGATAATATTCACACAGTCTTGTGCTTCCATTTTAATAACACTGTAAGTTTATCTGAGCTCACCAAAATATGCAGAAGATTCAAATCAGTAACTATAATGAGATGGTTGTTGTGCGAGTTGATACGATCTGTTTTCTTTAATTACTATTCAAATACATCTTCATTTGTCTATGTTTGCCATAAGGCTGTACAGGGGCCACTGTAAATGTAGAAAGAGGCTGAGAAAGACTCTGTGATGCTACAGAAGATACAGATGTTGTTTTTCTCACAGACTCTGGGACACTGTGTTTAGGCCTCAGGCTGTGCAATAACATGGCTGGAGCTGAACCAGCAAATTTACATGTGTACTCTTGATTATAATATACACACAATATAAACATATCTTACTCTGTACCTTATAGTACTTTGCACAAGTGAATACAAGTTAAATTATGTTCCACAGTATAATAATTTGTACAGTAAATTGGAGTAAGTTTTACACCAGATGTCTTTCCTGCCACAACCGTTTATAAAAATTACAATAATAATTAAACTAAGATTGTGAAATTACTGATTTGCCTGGAACGTTCCACAATATGGCATTAACCTTAAACAAGCATTTATTTGGTAATAGTTTTGTTACAGTTTTTCTGGTAAAACACCTGAAATTATTCTTACTGTGAGTGTGGTCAACTTTCCCTGTAATTTGGTCTGGTAGGTTTAACACTACACTATGGAATATTGGAATATAATGCATAAAAAATACAAAATTTAGTTATTGTGTAGACCACACGGAACAAAAAATTTTATGAAAAAACAGTATAAAACGCAAGAGGATTTGAGCATATTTGTAGCATACCCGGTGGAGGGGTGCCTGCAGTGTTAACCTGTACAAACACAGGCTCGCTCTCCATCTTCTCCTTCACGGCGTAGATGCTGATGTTGTACAGACGCCCGGGATGAAGGTCCACAAGGGTCAGAGAGGTGTCACTCTTACCCAGGATCAGCTCTGTGCTATCGCCTTCTACTGAGGGAGTGTACACCACACGGTAACCTGAAATACACACAGTAGGTCAGATGCAGCATAATAAAAATATATAAAAATGTGATCATGCAGTGGAAATGATCATTGTGATAATTTAAATAGTTTGGATCTTTTACCACTGATAGGAGCCTGGGGGCGTGTCCAGCTGATGCGGATTGAAGTTTCAGTCACATCGTCGATAGCATGTTGGGCAGGAGCATCTGGAGCTGTGAGAAAGAGAAAAGCAACTGTAATCTTAACTGCGGCTAAAAGCTTTATAATGTAGCTTTTTGTCTCAAAGGCTTCAGTTGACAGGACAGTGCGTTGTCTGACATGGAGGGACTAAAAAGAGAAATTCAACAAATTGCTGAGCAGCATTAAACCACTGTCAAGCACCGCACCATGACCTATTCAAATTTTAAGGGTCTATATTACGTTTATTTTCTTTTTCTAGTCTATGTTAAACTCTTGTTTTCTCATCACAAACATACTCAGAGTAGTGTTTTGTTTCAGTCACACATGTTTAACATTCAAGTCTTGCATATTTAAGCTGAGTTCTTCCACCTTATGTGGTCATGTGGTAATACAGGAAGTGCTCCACTGTGTTTTTAAACTCCATAAACCTTCACTAGAATCATTTGGAGGATTTCAGCCCCAGGATTTACAATTTCTACTGAATTAAGGTATAAGGTAGCTGTTAACTTTAAAACAGACAGAGAATTTTGACTTTTGGGGATGTAGACAGACTAATAATAGAGGATTTCTCAAACGTGTGAATGAAACAAAACACTCACAAGAGTCCATTTTGCGTAATATAGGACCTTTAAATCCTTAAATACATAATATGAATTTGAATTTTATGTTTGTCTTTTTTCAGCTATGGACAAAAGTCTTAGAGTATCTAGTCTCTACTCTATTAATCATGGTATATTTGTCCATTTGAAAATACTGAAAGTAAAACCTGTAGTCTGTGAAGTGGTGAGGATGAGGGTGGGGTCTCCCTGTTCTGGAAGCTCGTAGACATTCACGTTGTAGCGGCGTCCAGGCAGGAGGTCGCCGATGGTAACGGACGTTGAGGTACGAGGAAGTTCTGAAGAAATATATACAAATTATTAATGATATTCAACAGTTTACATAACATGATGCTTTAGTAAGTAGTAGGGCTGGGCAATTAATCACATTTGAATAGAGATTGTGATTCAGTCTAATCTACAGCCAATCCTCTGTGAGTAAAAGCATGTGGTTTGGAGCAAAGTTCAGATTTTAGAGGAAGAAATTTGTCTATTTTTGTGTTAAACTGCATTGATTAAAAGTCTGTATTGTTTACATTAATGAAACTAATACTGAGAGAAAAAAATCTAAAATTGCAGTTGATCAATACGAGGGGGAAAAAAATAATAATAATAATAATAAAAACATGATTAATTTCTTTGCCATATTGCCCAGCCATTTTATGAAATTAAAATGTTTGTGTCTTTTGTTTGTGTGTATGTTTTGTTTTTTTTTACCCAGAGAGTTGCGTTTGGCCCCTTCTTCACTCAGCTCATACTCCACTCTGAAGCCGGAGATGGTGGCAGATGCAGACGTCCATGAAACCACAAAACTGTTGGAGGTGATTTCTGTGACCGACTCTGAGGTATCGACCACAGGAGGAGGAGCAGTGGTCTCTCCTTCTGAAGTCTCCACTGAAGATGAAAAGACAAAATTGATTTTACTTCACCGAATATACCATTATTGAGTCTGGAAATTGTAACATAAGCAAAACTGGGTATTATTGGAACTGAATTTGCACCAATTCGTGGGTTTTAGGTGAATAAAGGACTTTATGAGGACTTTTTCCATACAAAAGACATCATATTTTTTATTTGAATTGCTTACGGACCACCTCCATAGCTTGAAACCCATTAATTTAATCCACTTGCAACTTAAAAACTGTATATAAACAAGACAGGCAGGCAAATTTTTAAGATGATCTGACAAAAAGAGGCTTATCTACATTGGCTACTCACAGGATCCAGATGTGGTGGTGAAGTCAAAGCGTGTGACCTCGCGGCGGCCATATTGGAGGATGCTGATGAGCTGACCCTCGTAGGTGACTCCAGGACGCAGCCCACTGATGGTGTAAGAGTTCAGGTGTCCAGGGATCACTGCCTCCCTCCAAGGAGCACGGGTATTTTTCTAGAAAAAGTTAAAGTTTATTTTTATTCACATGGTATTCATATAGGCTGATTTTACTGGCTTCATTTCATTTCTGGTTTTATTTAAGACAAAACGTGCTAATACAAATTAACCATGTTTATGCTACAGTGGGGAACATCTCAAACAAAGCAATAACATCTCAGGTTGGTGGTGGACCCTGCCTGACCCAAAAAAGTTATATAGTGCACCTTCAAGTACTCAGTGGTCTGAGACAGGAATTTCCTTGCTTTCCTAACCTGACCCTTGTTCTTTATCCAGGCTTGGAACTGAATCAAAGCCTACTATTTGCAAGCTTGTGAACTCTGAACTGGAAAACATACAATTAAAGTAATCTGGATACACTAGTAAGCAATGTTGAAAAGAAGTCTATTTCACTATTTAACTATTTAACTATTTAAAAGGCCAACCTCCGACTGTTTATGTAATAGTATGTTTTGGACTCGGGATCCCTTTGAGCAACATCCTGCTTCTTCTCTCACTATTTAGACTCCAGTAACTTCACACAGAGTAGGAAAACTAAGCACTAAATTCACAGCATGAAAGGGTGATGGGGAAGAGGAACTGAGCTCTCCAAAAAACACATGTACAAGGCCCTTAAAAGGAAATCTGTTGGACTTCAATTATGCTCGAAAACATTCCAGCGGTTCCAACATCTTTGAGGTTTTCAAATACAGAAAGTCAAAGAGGGAGGAGCAGGCCATGTTCTGTATGCAGAATATTAGGATCACTTTATGACAGGGCTCTCATTTTTAATGTCTCATGCTCCAATGAAGCGCTGACCTCATCCAAACTGTAAACATGATTTGCGCAGATGTTCTTGTCATTTCGATCTAATGAAACACACCTGTATTAACTAAAAACAGAACTGTAAATCTGATAATGTTCTTGTGCTTACTCATTACAAATATAAGTTTATAGTGTATGTTTTGTGTATGAGCTATGTGTTTGATCTGTGTTCTTAATAAACCTTGGATTGATTTTATAGTATATGTCAACAAAGTGATAGTAAAAAAGGGATAGTTGCAAATCCAGGGTAGGGTTTCGACAAAATCTTAATATATTTATTTTCTAGATCAGCCACTCCCAAAATTTTCTACCTTCATATCAACGCAAGATCACAAGGGTGCCCCAGTAATAATTTACACTATATTTAATAGAAAATGTAATGTGTGTTAAGCAATATGTAAGTATGCTATAGGCTTAATACTAATAAAAAGTAATGCATTTAAACTAATATCTTATGTAAGGTAGATGTCAAACATAATTTTCTTTTTATGCTTGTTTTGTGAGCAATCTTTAGGGGTCTCCCTACATTGCCTCTGAGGCCTTGATTGTTAATCTAAAACACAAGCAAAATAAAATCTAAGATGACATATTATTTCATGCTTCAGTGAATCTTGATCTCAATTGGATTGTAAAACATTGTACACTGATTAATCACTGATTTAATGTTATCAAAAACATCTGTCAGAGTTCATAAAAACATAATTATAACTCACGATTCTCCATTTCAGGATGTATTGGGTGATATGGACTGAAGAGGGGGGGTTCCACTGGATTGGGTGGGAGTCCGGCTGCTTTCCTGCCTCTGTGATGATCACCTGCACTGGTCTGTAGCCGTCTGAAAACACCATGATTAAGGATATTTACGTGACAAAGTTTAAAAAAAATTAAACTTAGGCAGTGCAATATCAATGAATGATGGTTCAGTTTTAGAAGGTCCTCTTTGGGACAAAACCAAATCCCCAGATGGTGCTAAACCAGGACCAACACCCACTCATATCTCATAGTCTCTTTTAACATTACTGCTCTATATTTATCAGTTTGTCTTTCCTGTGACCTCATGATTACAGCATAAACGACTGTGGTATGTGCACTTTAAATATGGTAACTTGAGTAATGTCTTTGAAACTTGTCACCCATTTGCTATATTACTGCTGGACATGTACGGGAATTGGGAATTGTGTTAGTTTATTAAAGAGCCCATATTACACTAATTTCTGATCTGTTATAAAGTTGTTTCCTCATTAAAAAGCATAACCAGATCTGTGTTTTGTTTTATTCACACATGTTTAACAAACAAATTATGTATATTTAGGCTGTGTCTTTCTCTCAAACAGAAAACACTCACACCCACTTTCTGAGTGCTCCACTGTGTTTTGAAAGCTAAACTCCACACACCTAATTCAACCGAGAATTACCATTCTCGGTTGAATTAACGGTAAAAGGTAGTTGTTTACTTGAAAACTACCACTAAATGGTGGAAGAGAGCATTTTGAGATCTGGAAATGTAGACAGATTAATAAAGGATTACTCAAACATGTGTGAACAAAATACAACTCTGGGTATGTTTTTCAGGAGTTAACAGCATTAGAACAAGTTCACAAGAAAGTTTTTTTGTTATTATGTGAGCTATTGTAGAAAGCTGATTATGTGATAAAAGAATTATAAAATAGGGGAAGGATAATTATGTACTACTCCCCACTCCTATTTCGTTTCCTATGTGTAGTTGTTGTATTCCACTATTAATATTGAATTTATTTCAAGTTAAAATTTGTTGAAATAATTCTTTAAAAAATATTAACTTATTAGAACTTTAGACCAAATCGTTTTCTTACCTGGGGAGGTTGTCAGAGGTTCACATCTCATCTCTCCATTCCCGTTGCCATAGCAATAGCAACGATAGCGGATGCTGTTTATAGTTTTATCCCACGACTCTCCAATCTGATAGAAAGCTTTGGTCTGAGGTTCCTGGCACTGATCTGATTAAGGGAAAAAATAAAATAAAATAAATGTTTTAACCACACCAACTACTTTTATTTTCCCATCAATACCCACCAACAGCGTCACACTTCCAGCGGCCGCGGCCCTGTCCAAAGCAGGTGCAGTTCATCATGTAGCCCGCGTCGTGGCGTTTGTAGAACTCCTGGTTGGTGTCATACGTGTATCCGTCCACAATGCACTGGTCTGTTAACAAGGCCAAAGGGAGAAGAGAAATCTAGTTAAAATGTAATTCATGAGCTCTTGGGTTGCGTTAAATAACTGTTATGGATAGCTCTGACAGTTTTATAGGAGTAGCATTATTATTCCAGGTGCGTTATGGATTAAAATAGGAATTATGGGAACTACGGGAGCTATGATGTACTGTCTCCATCTGAAATGCATTGGGTTCTTGTATTAATTTAGCAGTTTAATTTCAGTCTGAAGTCTTAATGCTCCTGGACATGTGTAATTTTTGGCTAGTGTTGTTGTGATACTAAAATGTCAAATACACCTCTGACTCAATAGTTACCACAATAATAATAAAAAAAAACATTTTTTGTTTTGACAATAGATTGTAATGTTTAACACAAAACTATTATTGTAATCTTGACTTAAACTAGTTCTGACAGATCAAGACTAGTCTAAATGTATTCAGGGAAGCTCTCATTTGTCCTGTTTATGTGTTTTCATCATCAGCACTTTTTTCAAATGATACCAGTTGCAGTATCAATTAGCATCTCGGTATTGATTTTTGATAACCCTACTTTGTACTAAATTATTTCTTTTGCAAATATGTGTTAGAAAACTGCAATTGGCTATTTTTCAAAATACATTCAGCCCTACATCAGACTGTTTGGACTGTACATCATTACTGGACAAGATGAAGTGTTTTCAGTGAAATATTAGGGTTAGGAGTCATTTGGATGGCCTATCAATAAGATCAAACAAAATTTAGATAATAAATTTTAGATAAAGATAATGGTAAAAGCTTCTTTACAAGCTTTGGACTCAAATTAAATACCAGAGAAGACAGTTTTGACAGTTTCATACAAGTCCCACCTTTGAGCTGGGAGTAGGCGATACAGTTCCACTCTCCACGGCCGTTCCCCAGACACGTGCACTCCATCATGTGACCCAAAACGTCGTGGCGTTTGTCCCATTTGTCCCCAACACGATGCATAACTCCGTCGTTCGTGGTGCACACCTCCTCATGAGCTGCAGAGGGAGGGGAGGGAAGACAATTCAAATTTGGTGTTCTATATTAAGTTGTTTTTAAAGAGATGTGACATAAAAAGGAACATATACAGTTTAGTCCATTCCCAGCAACACTTCCCCACATCAGTTGGTCTATATGCTGTGACGGATGGTTACTTAATCAAAGTGATGTTACCTGCACATCCTTTGAACATCTGTGGGAACTAGAATTGTAGCTACAAAATAAAACAACCCAAGATATCAGCTATAGGCTATATATTTTAAAATAATTCCTTTTTGGGAGCTGTCATAGCAAATCATGCCTCCATTAGTTTAGTGAACCTTTTCTATTTTGCAAACCACTTCACATTTTCTAGGCTTAAGACTAACAAAAAGTTCAAAAGCCCCAAAATGTACACTGGCTCTTGCATCCATATGGTATCACTTTATTATAATTGCAAATTTTAAAACCTTAAAGCCCCATATTAGGCCATTTTCTGATTTATGTTTGAATTTATGTTTGAATTGTGTTTTGTTTCATTCACACATGTAACACAAACCCTGAAAAATGTGGCTGAGTTCTTCTCTCAGATGGAAATCACTCTGTTCCACCTTGTGATCAGTACAGTAATATTAATACAGGAAGTGCTCCACTGTGCTTTTAAACTCCATACACCTTCACTAGAATCATTTGGATCATTTCAGACCTGGAATTGCTAATCTCTACTGAACAAAAGGTCAAAGGTACTGTAGCTATTGGCAAGTTTTGATCTTTGGAAATGTAAACAGACCAATAAACCAGGATTACTCAAACGTGTGAATGAAGCAAAACACAACTCTAGGTATGTTTTTGAGTAAATAACAACATTCGCAGTAGTTAATTTTGTGTAATATAGGACCTTTAACAAAGCATGAACAAAAACAAATAGTTAGATTCAGTCTTAGTAACTATTTAATGAATACCCTATCACCAACTCCAATTAAGTATTTACTAAGCCTGAATCATTCTATAATCATAACAAAAATGCTTTATTAAGGATAATTATGTGTCAGAACGTAGGTATTATAATGTGTTTTTATTTATTTATTTTTTTATTAAGTCTCTAAAAATTAAACTATATATGAGCATGAGCTGATTTTGACTTTTTACTCACCAGCCATGGGACAGAATCCAAATTTCTGTTCTCCGTCGTAGTTGTAGGTCGTACCACACCACCTCATCCCATCACGGCGTCCATCGGCTGTGCAATCAGTGTAGTTACGGCCACTGTACAGGAACGGGAAGTGACACAGGGCGCCATTGGAGTTCCCACCTCGGGTCGCCACGATAGCTGCAAGAATAAGTTCGCTCAAGTTACTATGACCAATAAACTGATATAGGTGTTTACAGATGCAATATGTAACTTTTCTGATGGAGCATACGCCACTTGATAGTATCTTGAATTTTGAATTTATTAATTTTCTTTTTTCTTTTTTTTTTGTTCAGTACTCTCACTTGTCTCTCTTGTCTCCTTGGAGATGGATACATTTTATGCCATTCTGTGGAACATTTTTGGCAAAACAACATCTCCATAAAAGAATAAAAGACCTTCTACCTATAAAATTTCAAGGCAAATCACAATCACAATGGAGAGTGTGTTTTAAAATGCACACTATCTCAAGTGTCAAATAACAAACTTTGGAGAATGCAAGGTAAAATACAACAAGATATTTTTGTTTTGAACTTTCACGCAATAATAGGAATAAATTGCCACTCACCATACTTCTCAGTGCAGAATGAGTACTGCTGATCTGTTTCATAGTCAGAGGTTGTGGAGCACCAGAGCTGTCCATCAGTGCGACCATCAGAAGTGCATGTGTAGTAGGTCTTTCCCATAAACATGAATGGAAACACACAGGGCTGCCCATTGGAGTTGCCACCATACACCTGGCTAGTGGCCTCTGCATAAACAATGGAAATGAAAATTAAATTAAAGATGTAACTGTATTTGAGTTCAGAAATGTAGGGTGCTAAGGGTGTGTCTTTTGATCTGTTATAATGTTGTTTCCTCAACACAAACCCTGCTTATTTAGGCTGAGTTCTTCTCTCAAACAGAAAACATTCTGTTTCACCTTGTAATGTGGTATTACAGGAAGTGCTCCTTTGTGTTTTTAAACTCCATATCCCTTCTCTAGAATCATTTGGATAATTTCATTTTTGGAATTGCCAATCTCTACTGAACAAAGGTACATAAAAAGTAGCTGTTATGACATCACAAGGTGAACAGAGCACTTTGGAGATGTGGACTAATAATAAAGGATTACTCAAACATGTGTGAGTGAAACAAAACAGAACCCTGGGTAAGTGTTTGAGGACATAACAACATTATAAAACTGGACCTTTAATACAAATGTCTCAATGCTCAAGTAGATCTTTGACTACAAAAAAAAAAAAAAACTAATTATAGCATACTGTATGTGTAAGATTTGATTGTGTTACTATAACCACAATCATATTACATAAAAGAGAAAGGCTAACACATACCCCACTCCTGACAGGTGACTCCATTGCCCAGACAGGTGCAGAGCATCTGTTGGGAGCCCTGGTTCCTGATCCATCTCTGTCCATCAAAGTAAGTAGCTCCAGAGTCGGCGCGACAGGTGCCTTCAGTGGGCGGCAGGGGCTGAGGCAGTGGTTGGGGCAGGACAGGGGTCAGCACAGGGGTCAGCACAGGGGTCAGTACCACAGTACCTGAGCCTGCTGGGGTACCTGAGCCTGTCAAGTATCAAAACAACAATGAAAAATTGGGTAAAGGTTTATTTATTTTTACAACAGGCCAAAAATAAAGCAAATACTATATTACACAGGCCTATAACAGAAAAGACAGAAGGCCTGTTGGACAGTAGAACATGATATAATAAAAATATATTATATAAATATACTTTCATTTCATTTCTATTGAGACAGCTGGTGCATGTATACTTTATGGACTACTGTGTCAAAAGCAAATTCCACCAAATTGTTTAATGGTTATTATAAATAAATTCCTTACATTAATATTATATTTCATTAGTTTAATCTACTTTTACCATGGTCCGACCAACTGAAAATAGTACTTTAATCTATACTTTTAATCTAACCTTTTGGCTGTCTATGAATGTTCAAAGTATTAGTTATTTCTGTTTTAGGTGAAGCTAGTCCCTCCTAACAGTAAATCATTTGTTTACCCGTTGATATGACCAATGATATACAACAGTGATTTAACCTGTAGCATTACAACTCTCACTGACCATGGTCTAATGTAAAGATTGTGAATAATTCCTCACCTGAACGAGCAGCGTCTCTCTCACATTTCCACTCTCCACGGCCATTGCCCAAACACACACACTCCACCATCTGTCCGTCAGTGTGAATCTTCCTCCAGGTCTGACCAATACGATAGGACTGCTGCATCGCCTTGTCATTACAACGGTCTGAAAGTGAAAAAAACACACACACACTTAGTATCCAGTCCTTGGTATCCATTGTACAATCATGCTGAAACCTGATTGTACAATGGATAACAGAAAAAAGATCATAAGGAATGTAGCAGAAAGTCTTAATTCTAATCCAAGTCTAGATTAGTTGTTGTAGTTTTTTAGTACTGTCATGAGTTCCACTTGTTCAATAGCTAAAACTGAACAGACTTTACTCACTTCTGGATGTACAGGTGATGCGGCCATTGCCTTCTCCCACACAGGTGCAGTCCAGCATCATCCAGCCCTGGTACGATTTCTCCCATGTCTCACCGACAGTGTACGAAGATGCTCCTCCATTATCATAGCAACGCTCAGCTGCACACAACAGAGAAGGTTAGGATCATGGACTGTACAATATAAATGGACATAGCTAACACGCTAGCCACCGCGTTCCAAATGGTGAGTATGGCAGCGCTTCCGGCTCCATCGACTCTAACTCCAATTGACTTTACATTAAAAAACTGTCACCCCTTTCTTTGTGACTGCTGCAGTGAGTCTCGTTATTTTGGTCTTAAAATGTTCATATGAACCCTCTCTACATGATCCTGTAGTTTTTATTTCACAGTTTTGTCTCTAAGTAAACCTTTATGCCTAATATGGAACTCTGACTGGACCTAAACGCTATGGGTCATGTCACACTCCTTTAGGCCACTTCTTTATACAATCTGTGGTTAGGATGCACAACTAGAATTTGTTTAATAACGTTGTATTAAAGGTCATAGAGTGATCATGATGTAAACCTAAAAATTTGATTCAATGTTTTGTTGTCACTCTTTTCTCCTCTTACTCCTACTATTGGTCAGCTCCGAGTGAGTTACAGGTGGATTTAACCAGTCATATTGAGGTGTTATTCGTAGAAGAACTATAGCTAGGAATTATCATTTATCTATAAGGCCTGTACCTGAATCATGCTTATGAAAATATTGCGAAAGGGAATCCTCAGATGAACTTTTGATCGGTTTATCTGGTGTCACTAACGTCAAATATTTGCAATGCAACACAGTCACACTTCTCCGAAATATCCCAGATTGTAGCTCATGGTGAAGTGGTGAAAAGTGCTAAGTCCTTCTGTTATAATAAAGAAAATGTACTGACCCAGAGGTTTGCAGGTCCACTCTCCTTTGCCATTGCCCAGACAGACACACTCCAGCATGTAGTTCTGAGTCTCGTGGGGTCTTTGCCAAGTGTCTCCGATTTTATACGACCTCCCAGCTTCATGACAGCGGTCTGCAAACAACACTCAGGTGTCACTTTCTAATTTGGGCAAAGTATTTCATATTGGGAACAAACTGATAAAAAACAGTGCAGTTGTTTAATTTAGTATTGGCACTCACTTGCGATGGTGCAGCTGATTTTGCCGCGCCCGGAGCCGATGCACGTGCAGTCCCAGATCATGCCGTCCTTTGGCCTCTCGTAGGATTCACCGACACGGTAAATCTGGTTATTGTACTTGTCGTGGCATGTTTCCTCAACTGTGGAGCCGGGAAAAAAGATAACGAAAGGTCGACTATTGTTAGTTGAACTCGGCACACCGCGTAAAGTTTTTGAACATATTGTATGCTGTTTCTTTAGGTCACTGACCTGCCGGTTTTGTTTTACACTTGATGCCCGACGTTGCGCTGCAGGTGCACACCAGTGTACTCCCGCGGTACGGCTTCTCCCACTGCTCATTTACTCTGTATAACACTCCATTCTCCTCACACCCATCTGACCAAAGTAAATTTAACATTATTAATTTAAAGAAAAAAATAATCATCGCCTAGGTCAAAATAGACAGAAGGATGTGTGCTGTATAGACACATTTTAAACATCTCTATCAACAATTACGCATAGGTAATCATGTGAACTACAGGGGAATAGTGATTGCTACAGTTTTTAAATCCTGAAAACTCTCACCTGAAGAGCCCGATGCTATTTCGTGGAGCTGTGGATACACTTGATACTGTCCAGCCTGCCTTCTGTTTTTGCTCCCTGATAACGCGCTCGTTACGCACAGAGCCACCAGCAACCCGGTGAGCGTCTTTGCCATATTGGCAGAATAAATACAATGGAAACAAGTAAAGTGAAGCAAGACACTGTAAAAGAAAACAGTGGATAATTTGTTTTTGGAGAGACCCTTGTGCCGCTCTTGTCGCTGCTCTTCAGGCGGTGTGTGTCCGCCGCGCAGCTCGTGCACCAGGCCGAGCAGAGGCGCGCGCTCTGGATTTATACTGAGACCCACCGCCGCAGAGCGAGGAGGAAGGGGAGGGCTCTGACTGGAGATGGTGAGCCATGCGCCCACTTCGCACTTAAACTTCACTTTTGGGGAATTAAACGTGACCTGTAGCATGACGCGAAAATCAGAAAAAGTGCTGGAAGCTTCTGCTGATGGGTTTTTCATGCTGCATCATGATTAGCTCCCATTTGTTAATGTACTTCAAGGTGCATTATGTAACTTTTATTGAAGGGAGTCGTCTCTTGCTTGACTCCATGGATATATTACGGATTTGAATTTCATCTTATTTATTCATTTACAAATGTTTAAATTGTTAAAAAAAAAAAAAAAAAAACTTATCATGCTAGGGGCTAGGGTCGTCTCTCCACTTATCTGACCTTTTAACTTGGCCTGTGGGTCTCACTTGTCTCTAAGGAGATTGATGCGTTTTATGTCAGACTGTTCAAGTGAAAGCAATAAATGATAACACCTCCATTCAGACCAGCAGGTAGCGGACCCTCCACCAGAAAAGTCACATAGTGCAGCTTTAATTGGTCACAAAATGAGCATGGTATATTTCAGTTTGAATCAGAGGATATAAGTCTATGTTGCCTTTGTACCAGACCCAAAACATCAGAAAGGAGATGATGCATTATGATTTTCGGAAATATATATATTTTTAAAGCAGCAATATTGGATTACATTTTATTTTGAATTGTAGTGAGTGCAATTCAGGCTGTTTTACTGCAGTTGTCCAACATTTCTGTCTACAGTTTCCATCCCCATTACACAACTGGGCTGATTTTGACTAATGACCACACAATTATAACGTTATGGTTTGTCTCCACCAGTGAACTCTTGAATAGCTCGGATTCTTGGCTGTAGCTTTGACGGCTCATGTACACAGTTTAATGTACTAAAGCTGTGGGTCTGACCTGTGTAATGGTCACTTTAAACGCTCCAAACTCAGACACACCCAGACACTTAGTCACTGTTTCTGTTCCAACTGAGGGACATCCATCAAACTGTCTCTTCGCGTGTCCCAGGTCTGGTTCAGTTCAATAAAAACACAAAATATGGCCTGTGAAATTCATTTTGATCCAAGTTATCAGTGCTCATCATTTTAGGTATGCATTTCTTTTTCCAAACATGATGTAAAAGTTCACCTCATGGACACAGGTTGTGTACACATTAAAGGACCCATATTACACTATTTTCTGATCTATGTTATAATGTTGTTTCCTCATCACAAACATACCTGGAGTTGTGGTTTGTTTCATTTACACATGTTTAACACAGGAACCCCAAATTCTTCTCTTAAAACAGAAAACAGTCTGTTCCACCTTTTGATGTCATGTGGTAATACAGGAAGTGCTCCACTGTGTTTCTAAAGTCCATATACCTTCACAAGTATCTTTTGGATGATTTCAGTCCTGGAATTGCCAACTTCTACTGCATAAAAGGTAAAAGGTGGCTTTTAACTTGAAAGCTACCACTTCATGACATCACAAGGTGGAACAAAAAATTTGGATCCCAGGAGATGTAGACAGACTAATAATAAAGGATTACTCAAACATGTGTGAATGAAACAAAACACAACTCCAGGTATGTAAAGCTCACAAAAGTTAATTTTATGTAACATAGGGCGTTTAATGAAAACACAAATATGGAACATGGAAACTTAGTAATAATTTGACAAGAAAATATTTATCTGTATGAGCTCATCTGAGATCTCTAAGGACTTCTTCATTTGAACCTTCACTAATATGATTCCACACATGATTCCTTTTCAGTGTCATGTGTTTACCTATAAATGGAAATTGTTAAACTTGCTTATGGGATTGCATCTGGTGTAAAACTATCTGCATTGTGCACTGTCAAGTACCTGTTTATTATCAAACTGTAGGGTATTAAAATGGTCAGCTAAACCAAATTAAAGACAAAAGTACCAAAACAAAATGCCAGTGCACCTAATTGTGACTGGAACAAATTTTCTTATTTTACCAAATTTAATTTAAAATCTCATTTAATTGTGTTGTTATTTTTTGAACGTGTCCAGTCTCTTACCGTCATGTCTCTGCCCCTAGATCATTACACAGAGACGCTGGTTTGGTGCCAAAGTCATGCCAGTCGATTCAGTTTAACAGTCTCTACTAAATGCCTTAGTCATGGTCGTGCAGAGGGAGCCACTGTCTGGGGTCTGGTCATTCCTGTCCAGGGCTGGTCCAGAGAGCTGAGCCCGAGGGGAGAGGGAGAGAAAAAGAGACAGAGAGAGACACATCCCAAGAAATACAATGAAAAAACACAGTGGGATGAGTCTTTGTTTTGAAACTGTATGGAAGTAGTTGATAATAAGCTTCAACCTACTCTTTTTAGGCTATGTATGCTTGTATATACACATGTAATGTAAAGAAAGCCCAAATAAATTCAACAAAATCCATGTAGGAACCCAATATGAAGGAAGCTATATGTAGATATTTGCAGCTTTATTTGTTTTAAGACATATTGCATGAGTTAGATTGTGTTTACAGTTATTAGTAGAGTGAAGATTAAGATATGAGAAGAGAGAGGGAACTGTTATCTGTCTTATAATAGGGACATTTCATTTTCAGCATAAAAGTTTGAAGACTTGTTGCAGCAATCTAATCAAATACACACACACACACAAAAAAATCAATGCAATGGTAATATCAGCAGGAAACTCATTCATTCATAGTTTAGTTTTTGGTGAAAGTTGTGACATAATTTACTGAGCTCTAGAGGATTTATGAGCAGTCTGGGGCCGTGTGCCTGGTCTGTATCAGTGGGTTTCGACTCGTGGGTTTTTACAAAGCACCTCTAACAGCTGTGATTTATGGCCACTTAGCTCTTTTCTGTCGTATGCTAAGTACAGTAATTTGTTACAACTGAAAGTCACGCTGTTTTGTGGTAAATGCAAAGGAACAGGAATATGTAACCAACTCCAATCACAAGGGGTCAGTAAGTATGTTTACTATTGTCAAATAAATGGATGTTCTTCCCAAAATGTTCGATTGGTAATTGCAGCTCCAGTGCTTTAGTGGAGGTCTCTTTGAATGGTCCCAATTACGAAGTTGTATTGATTAACTACTACAGATGCTTGGTGTTTTCTCCCAGATGTAAAATGTCAGTTGTTGTTTCTCTGTTGTTTCAGTTTAATTGCTCACACGTGTATCGCAGAGCTGCGCCAGTGTAAGACTCACCATGTCCCAAAAGTAGCTATTATCATTAAGTAGTTTGTAAGTTGCCAGCACTTGTTTCCATGACTCATGTGTTTTTACTTAACGTGACTAAAACTAAATTTGTTGTGAACAGCTGTTTTGGGAGACATGTGCCAAGTTTTAAGGATAACCAGAAAATAATACAGTTTTATCACAAGGTGCACATTAAAAGTCCTATATTACACACCATTGATTCGTTAGAATGCTGTTAAATCCTCAAGAACAGACCTGGAGTTGTGTTTTGTTTTATTCACACATGTTTGAGTAACCCCTTATTATTAGTCTGTCTACATCTCCAAAGCTCAAAATGCTCCGCCTTGTTATATCATGAAGCGAATTTAATAGCTACTTTTTGCTTAAATATGCAGAGTTTGTGTGTTAAACATATACAAATGAAACAAAACACAACTCCAGGTATGTTTTCGATGAATAAACAACATTATAACATAGATTTTTTAATAGATAAAACTAGAGTTACAACTTGCTGCTTGGATATTTTGTGTATAAAATGGGGAGAGGGGAGGTTTAAAATAGAATTAGAGTTTATTTACAAAAAGGGTGGAGATGGGCGAGCAGATGTGGCCCAGGTTTAGACTCTTCTGTTAGATTTTTACAGCTTGGGCCCTTGTTCGTTAAAATGGGAACAAAAATATGCAGTGTACTTTTATTAGCACAGTAGTCTGTTTGGGGTAGGAATTTATGTTGTTCCAGCAAGGAGGTTTTGAGTTCAGTCTTTGCAAACTGCAACTTCAATCAATCAAATGTGGATGGAGTGTGCATGTTTACAATGTGATCAACAATTATTTTTTTGTACGCCGACCACTCCTGTCATATATAAGAATTATACGTGCAATGACAACTTTAAATCTAAGCGGTTTCAATCATATTAATCGTGACAAATTACTTTATTTTTGCAATTGTTAAACATTACAATAATCATTTCTTATACAAACTCAAAAACTCATTCCAAAAGATGTTTTAAAACAGACACCAGCATTATTAAAATTGCAATGTAAAGAATAAAAATCATCAATAATACACTTTATTAGTACATTTTCTCTATGAAGAAGCCTTTAGTAAGCATGTTTTTATCTTTGTAATAAAAAATGTTTGACTAGTTAGCTCTGTGACAAGATACCCACTGCTCAGGATGCACTTAAATTATACCTAAATTAGAATTATGATGATTTCTTTCTTTCTTCTTTCTTCATGCTTTTTTACAATGTACATGCGTCATTTGTCTAAAAATTTTCATAATAAAGAGGAACCACTTTGCAGAAGTCCAGGTTTGACCCGAAGGTGAAAATGCAATTGAGCAACACGGGCAGGACATCTGTCTCTGTCAGAACTCCTGGTGAATCAGCGGTTTGAGCTCCGGATGTGAAGATGTGTCGAAGCTGACGACAAGAGCCCAAACTCAAAGCATCTCCAAAACATTCCACAACAACCTGCAACCAGGAAGTGTCGCCCTGGAGACACGAGGGGCGTGGCCACAGCACAGATGTAATGACTTGTAATGACAGAGGATGATTTACTGTCTCTACTGAGTCAAAGAGGCAAAGGGTCCAAGTGCAGTTTGATAGTTACAACACAAGTTCATAAAATTATTAATCACTAAATTCTATACAACTAGCAGAGCAAAAATAATGTAGATTTCATTATTCATCTGAAATAGGGCTGGAAACCTGGAATAAACTTTTTATGCAAGCTGTTACTGTTTCCTTGGGTAAGAAACTTCACTCATCAGGCATAGT